TTTACGGCAACAATCTCAGCCATGTTTGCAGCTGCAAACAGAGCACTTTCTTTGATATATGTTTAGGGTTTCTGAATTCAATAAACGCTCTGATACCAATTATTGAATTAAAATCCTAGAGTATATATCTATGATCAAGGACTTGTGTTTATAAGAACACCTTTTCTTATTACTTTTGAAACTAACTCAAAACAAAAGTACACAAATCTCTCAATCTCTAAACTCTCTCATATGACATACCACATCTTTGGTAGTTCATATTTATACACACAAAACATAAAACCTAATCGTTAAACCGACTTGTTTAAACCGACTTAGAGAGCTTTAGATAATATCTAGTTTTTAGATAACTCCTAAAAACCTTTTATCTTTTATCTCAAGTTAACTACTAACTCTAGTTAACTTCTTTGATCATAAGCTTCTTAACTCAAGCTTACTTCAACAGATATGTCACTATTATTTTCACAATTGTAGGATTTTAAAAAAAAAATAATTTGAATTTCTTTAAAATCATAATGATCGAGCTTTCAATAAAAGTAATTAAAGAGCGGACATACAATGCATTTTAAAAAGGTAAAAGCATGAGGTTTTTCTTCTTTTTTTTTAGAAACAATTGTACATATGTTTCGATCAAAGATATCGTAAAGACAAAAGCATAAGTTTATGGGCAAACACTGTCGTTGTTTTTTCTTTACAATTGTCCTGTCATTTCTGTTTTTCCTCTCTCATTTCTTTCTTACATTTTTGGCTCATTTTTCTGTATAAGAAGAAAAAAATAATGCGTTTTCTACTTTTTTTCCAGGGACACAAGAAGATAATATAACTTCAGAGTTGATACTTATCCATCAGCCAGTAATCAAAATGTCTTATTTATCCCATACATATTTTTATTATACAATAAGAAAATTTTGTAGGATAGACTGGGGAGGGCAATGTTAAATAAAATTCTTTACTTTAGAATTATGTTCTTAATTATTGAAACCGCAAGCATGCAGTTCTCACGATCAGAGGTTTCAGAGCTAATGTATTTTGAAATATAACTGGTATTAACAAATCATACATTAATAAATTTATCTATAATAAATCAACCAATGACATCGGTTTATCAAAGCCGTTGAAATAATGGCCAGTTAAAACAATGATAATTCAACCCGTTAACTTCAAAATGTTTGAATAAACTTATATGTGCGCTTGCTTATTCTGACCATAAAACAAGGAAAAGAAAAAAACTTATCTGCTAAGACTTCATATATATGAATCGAAAGATTCTAACCTATAATCAGGAAGTTTTACTCGTATACGAAACCCCCTCCAATATATTATTGGTTGCGTAAATTAACAAACCGATCTGTCTGTTTAATAACGCAGAGTAGAATTGCAACCCTTTCTTTTTTTAAAACGAGGGGACAGATCAATATCAGTCCGTGACATATCAATTTTTATTCGAAACGCCGCTCAGAAAAGTATATTATGATAAGTGGCTAATTTTACATGCGTAGTTTATATATGTAGCTAGGTAATAGTGTCGTCAATAGAATCTTTCTCATTCAAAAAAAAAAAAAATTGTATATATAAAATTAAAAACAATTGTAGACGTTTCGAGGTCAGATGGCTTGTAAAAGATAAACTTAAATATGTTAAATTCATAGGATTTTTTTAATACGTATACGTTTATACCCAAAAAAGAATGGACCGAGTATGGTATAGTATTACGACAAATAACGCCGTAGCCCGTAGCAATCCAACTACCGAACACTTTCTCTTCGGTCGCTTTCGTTTTCGCGACACGTCCACTTCCAGTGTTCGATTTTTTTTTTTTTTCAGTGTAGACAATTCTAAAATAAAATTTGTTATAGTCTTGGTCGTTGCCTTTTACACTCGTGTTATAAATATAAATGGAGGGTTACCGACGTACCGTGGAGTATTAGATAGTATTAGATTCCAACATTAAAACTTGAACCGGAAACGTATATATAGTTCAAATTTTCTTTAGAATTTACTTCTATCTAGATTTTTTTTTTACTCCTATCTAGATTTTTTCTCACGTAATTTCTAGAAATAAAAAGAAATTTAAAACAGAAGTTGACGGGAACGTCACATGACTAAGGTCGGAACAGAACGTAGCTTTAGTTCTGTAGACACAATTAATATGTTTCTTCTTCTTACACCTTTTGTCTCTTTCCCTTTTTTTTTTTTTTTTTTTCACTTCCCTCTAGGTTTTGTCTCTCTTGTTTTATTTGTAAATTACAAATGTAAAAATTTGATCTTCTTGACTATTATACTTTAGTTGTATGAACATGCATATATTGTAAAATTTCTTTGATCTCTTTGTCTCAGCCAAATCCTTCTTTGATCTTTTTGCCCCAACCAAAATCTTTTAATCCCTTTAGTTTACTATATGCTCTATATGCAGTGCCGGCTCTCCCCATGTGCGGGGAGTGCTCATGCACATGGTCCAAATTTTTTTTGTCTTTTTTTTCAGCTAAATTTATTAAAATTAGGATCCAAATTTTTTTATATATATATATATATACATAAGAAATTATGGCCAATTGATTTTTTCAGCTCAGAGTTCTTAAATTTTTTGAGCCGGCCTTGTGTATATGTAATGTTAAGTAGTAGGCTTCGTTTTTTCTTTCCACGATTTGTGTAGGCTTGTGAATTTTTTAAAATATAATCAATAAGTATAGGCTGGGCCCGTAGTTTATCAAAAACTAATGGGCCTGAATTTCTTTCAAAGCAAACATTAATTAATCTATTTTATTCAAAGAAATATCAATCGTCGAAGATGGCTTCGTCACCACTTATCGCAACGTCACTACCGCAGAATCAGTTAACCACCGCCAGCGCCACCGCAACCGCCAGCGCCACCGCAACCGCCAGCGCCACCGCAACCGCCAGCTTCCGCAATCCGCCGCCTGAGAAACTTGCAGTTTTTATCGACAATTCGCATTCAGTGGATGAAGTGCTCCAAATCCACGCAGCTATTCTCCGTCATAATCTCCTCATCCACCCTCGTTACCCAGTTCTTAACCTCAAGCTCCACCGTGCATACGCTTCCCACGGCAAAATTCGCCACTCGCTGGCCTTATTTCACCAGACGATCGATCCAGACTTGTTCCTCTTCACCGCCGCGATCAACACTGCCTCCATTAACGGCCTCAAAGATCAAGCTTTCCTGCTTTATGTTCAATTGCTTTCTTCTCAAATCAACCCCAATGAGTTTACTTTCTCGTCGATTTTGAAATCTTGCTCAACTAAGTCCGGAAAATTGATCCATACCCATGTTCTTAAATTCGGATTGGGGCTTGATCCGTATGTGGCAACTGGTCTCGTCGACATTTATGCGAAAGGAGGAGATGTGGTATCTGCCCAGAAGGTGTTCGATAGAATGCCTGAGAGAAGTCTCGTTTCTTCTACAGCTATGATCACTTGCTATGCAAAGCAGGGGAACGTTGAGGCTGCGAGAGCTTTGTTCGATAGAATGTGTGAGAGAGACATTGTTTCTTGGAACGTGATGATTGATGGATACTCTCAACATGGGTTCCCTAGTGACGCTCTGATGCTTTTTCAGAAACTTTTGGCGGATGGTAAACCGAAACCTGATGAAATAACCGTTGTAGCTGCTCTTTCAGCTTGTTCGCAGATTGGAGCGCTTGAAACTGGGCGATGGATCCATGTTTTTGTCAATAGCAGTCGCATTAGGCTCAATGTTAAAGTGTGTACGGCTCTGATTGATATGTATAGCAAATGTGGGAGCTTGGAAGAGGCAGTTTTAGTGTTTAACGATACTCCTAGGAAGGATATCGTTGCGTGGAATGCGATGATTACTGGTTACGCAATGCACGGTTATAGCCAAGACGCGTTGAGATTGTTTGATGAGATGCAGGGGATCACAGGGTTGCAACCAACGGATATAACTTTCATAGGAACACTTCAGGCTTGTGCTCATGCTGGTTTGGTAAACGAAGGGATACAAATCTTTGAGTCAATGGGGCAAGAGTATGGGATTAAACCCAAGATCGAGCATTATGGATGCTTAGTTAGTCTGCTCGGTCGTGCTGGCCAGTTAAAACGGGCTTACGAAATCATAAAAAACATGAACATGGAGGCTGATTCTGTCTTATGGAGTTCTGTTCTCGGAAGCTGTAAACTTCATGGAGAATTTATGTTAGGCAAGGAAATTGCAGAGTATCTTATTGGACAAAACATCTCAAACTCAGGAATTTATGTTCTTCTTTCGAACATATATGCATTGGTGGGTGATTATGAAGGTGTTGCAAAAGTGAGGAACTTGATGAAGGAGAAAGGAATAGTGAAGGAGCCCGGTATAAGCACAATAGAAATCGATAACAAAGTTCATGAATTCCGAGCTGGAGATAGAGAACACTTGAAAAGCAAAGAAATTTACACAATGCTAAGAAAGATGAGCGAGCGGATCAAGTCTCACGGTTATGTTCCAAATACAAACACAGTCTTGCATGATCTTGAAGAGACAGAGAAAGAGCGATCTCTACAAGTTCACAGCGAGAGACTCGCGATTGCATACGGTCTAATCAGTACCAAACCGGGAAGTCCCTTGAAAATATTCAAGAACCTACGAGTGTGTTCGGATTGTCATACGGTGACAAAACTGATATCGAAAATCACAGGACGGAAAATCGTCATGAGAGATCGGAATAGGTTCCATCATTTCTCAGATGGCTCTTGCTCTTGTGACGATTTCTGGTAAAAACCTAACACTACACATTGTTATTCTGTACATTAAAAGAAGATCCTAGTGAACAAATATACTTGGATTATCTAATCAAGAATGTCTATCATGGTAATTCTGTCGAACACTTGGAGGGCATTATTTGTGATGTTGGATACAAGACTTGACTTTTATAACCAGGAAGATAGAATCAAAGTCGAAGTTTTTCCTCGTTATTGACAATTTGCTATTTCTAGAACATTGGACAAATCTACTGGTCAATGAGTCAAATGGTCAATACCAAAATCAAAATTGGACTTTGTTTTTTTAATTTCGTCCAAATCTATTTAACTCCACCAAATTTTCCAAAATTGCTTCACTCAACCAAATCGATCTAAACATGGAAATCAAAATCCTAATTTCCTCAATTCTCTTCATTATTATCTCTCTCAGATTCTTGATCCGAAAAATCATACGAAAGCCAAATCTTCCTCCGAGTCCGGCATGGTCGTTACCGGTGATTGGTCATCTCCGTCTCCTCAAACCACCGATTTATCGCACTTTCCTTTCACTTTCTCAATCCCTAAACGATGCTCCGATCTTCTCCCTCCGACTCGGTAACCGACTCGTTTTCGTGAACTCATCACACTCGATAGCCGAGGAATGTTTCACCAAAAACGACGTCGTACTCGCGAACCGGCCAAACTTCATCCTCGCTAAACACGTCGCTTACGATTACACAACCATGATCGCAGCTTCTTACGGTGACCACTGGCGTAACCTCCGCCGCATCGGCTCCGTCGAAATATTCTCCAATCACCGGCTTAACAGCTTTCTATCTGTTCGTAAAGACGAGATCCGGCGACTTGTGTTTCGTCTTTCTCGGAACTTTTCACAAGTAAGTGAGCTTTAAAACTTAGTTAATTAGATCTTAATCACGAATTTGGATTTAATTAAATGATATGATTTTATTCTAACTATACTCTGTTCTGTCATTGACTCGATTATAAATATTTGTAGGAGTTTTATTCTAACTATACTCTGTTCTGTCATTGACTCGATTATAAATATTTGTAGGAGTTTTATTCTAACTATACTCTGTTCTGTCATTGACTCGATTATAAATATTTGTAGGAGTTTGTGAAGGTGGAGATGAAATCGATGTTATCTGACTTAACATTCAACAACATTATAAGAATGGTGGCGGGAAAACGTTATTACGGAGACGGTGTTGAGGATGATCCGGAGGCTAAACGAGTCCGGCAGCTTATTGCGGATGTGGTAGCTTCTGCTGGTGCCGGAAACGCTGTTGATTATTTACCGATTTTGCGGTTAGTCTCAGATTACGAGACACGGGTTAAGAAGTTGGCGGGTAGGCTCGACGAGTTCTTGCAAGGATTGGTTGATGAGAAACGAGAAGCTAAGGAGAAAGGAAACACCATGATCGATCACTTGCTTACTCTCCAAGAATCCCAACCGGATTACTTCACTGATCGTATCATCAAAGGAAACATGCTTGTAAGTATCCGAAAAACTCGAACCAATAAATATTTAGGTTCATTATTCGATTTTCAAGCAATTCTTTAGATCACTCTTGTCACATTTTGGTATGGAACGTGTTAGTTTAGTGACGTGTATGTGTAAAATTTGCAGGCTTTGATACTAGCAGGGACCGACACATCAGCGGTTACGTTAGAATGGGCATTGTCAAACATGTTGAACCATCCGGAGGTACTGAACAAGGCGAGAGATGAAATCGATAGAAAGATAGGTTTAGACAGGCTTATGGACGAATCAGACATCTCAAATCTGCCTTATCTCCAAAACATTGTGTCTGAAACGTTGCGCCTTTATCCTGCGGTTCCCATGCTTCTTCCTCACGTTGCCTCGGAGGATTGTAAAGTTGCAGGATATGATATGCCGCGTGGCACGATGCTATTGACCAATGCATGGGCTATACACAGAGATCCTCGGCTATGGGATGATCCAATGAGCTTCAAGCCAGAGAGGTTTGAGAAAGAAGGAGAGGCTCAGAAGCTAATGCCGTTTGGGTTAGGAAGAAGGGCGTGTCCTGGTTCTGGACTGGCTCATCGGTTAATAAACCTGACTATTGGATCATTGATTCAGTGTTTGGAATGGAAGAGGATTGGAGAAGAAGAAGTGGATATGAGTGAAGGCAAAGGAGTTACAATGCCTAAAGCCGTGCCTCTCGAAGCCATGTGCAGAGCACGTGCATCTGTTGTTAAAATCTTCAACGAGGCCGCTTGACTTTTAGACTTTTAATGTCTATATATATACTTTAGATAACGACTTAATGTTTGTATGTTTTTTTTTTTTTTTTTTTTTGTGAAAAAGTTATGTTGTAAGTTGTATGAAAATATTGTGGAACAAGCAAAGATGCCAAATAGTGAGAATTGTAAGTGAAGTCTTTGTTTTACCTTAGTCAAGTTTTAATATTTTTTTTTAAAAATTAATATGAAAATAATTCTCAGCAAAGATGCCAAATTTGCATATATTACTAATTTCGAATTTTTTATGCTATTAGGAAATTTTTATGCTATTAAAGTTTAAAGTTTTATGGAGGTGTGTATTATTTGCAGGGATTTGCCAAGGTTGAGATGAAATCAATGTTTTCTGACTTAACATTCAACAACATCATTAGAATGCTGGCTGGAAAATGTTACTACGGAGACGGTAAAGAAGATGACCCCGAGGCCAAACGTGTGCGGGAACTTATCGCAGAGGCTATGAGTTCTTCTGGTCCTGGAACGCTGCTGATTATATACCGATCCTGACTTGGATCACATATTCCGAGAAACGGATAAAGAAGCTCGCCAGTAGGCTTGATGAGTTCTTGCAAGGATTAGTCGATGAGAAACGAGAAGGAAAGGAGAACAGGGACAACACGATGGTTGATCACTTGCTTTGTCTGCAAGAAACCCAACCAGAGTACTGTTGGTCACAAAACTAATGCTGAATAGTTCGATAGTTTATTAGCAAAGATACTTGGCCATTAAAAAGCCAAATACGAAGACTCAGTCTCCTTACAAACAATAACGTGAAGCAGAAAATGCAGGAAACAGAACAAAACAAACCGAAATACTTGGTCTACTACTTAGTCCACTACTTGACTCCAAATAACTCGGGACTTATTCTAAACTGAATTGACTAAAAGACTAAATCAAACCCAACAAGTACTACACGGACTGCATCATCAAAGGAACCATGCTTGTAAGTAACCGAGAAGAGGTTTTTAAGTAGTCAATGTTCACATTCGGTATGAAAGAACTAGTTTCTGATTTTTTTTCTTGTATATATGTGCAATGTGCAGTCTCTTTGTAACACCCGTCTCACCCTCTCTCGGGAACGGTGTGCCACGTGTAACATCCGTCTCACCCTCTCTCGGGAACGGCATGTTACCATAATTCACTTTACAACAAATAACTCTTTTTCCATAAACATCCAATTCTTTATTAAATACCAAGGCAAAAATCCGATAAAACATACTAAATCCAAATAAGTCGATAACACAACTGTTTATTAAAAGTCTCGAATAAAAAGGCGGAAAACGAGAATCCATCCCAAATGACACACCCCGACTCATCAAGTCATAACTACTCGTCTGGCTCACCTGAAATGGGGAAAGAGGGGTGAGCAACAGGGGAGTCGCTCAGTGAGGTATGGGATGCTAATCCGCATGTCACTGACTCAGCCAAGAAACTAATCGCAAAATAATGGAGTACCAAATATGAGCAAACACAGCACCTACAGTGCTCAATCAACATACAATTTTCCTATTAAGGAATAGTGGCCAATCACATCCTCAACGAGATCATTTATGGGATAGTGCCCAATCACACCCTCTAACGAGGTAATTTCTGGGATAGTGCCCACGCACACCCTCTAACGAGGTAATTTCTGGGATAGTGCCCACGCACACCCTCTAACGAGGTAATTTCTGGGATAGTGCCCACGCACACCGCCCCTGGGACGCTTATCGATCTTAAGGTGCAGGGCAACAGATCGATTATGTATTGCCCTCACCCCTACCTCAAACAATGCGGCACCATACAGAAGTTCTTTTATCTGTATCCGCTATATCTCAATATAATATATATATATATATATATATATATATATATATATATATATATATATATATATATAACTAACAACAAACATTTAATAGTATGTGACAAACAAATGGGTTTAATCATCTATCTTCCTATGTCCAATTTAAGCAATCAAACTAACTAGACTCGATCATTGAAACACATCACATTCAGTGTTGCACTATTCGTAAATTAGAATTCTCGAACAGAGCACAGCGGTTTGGAAATAGCCCTCACCTTAGCAATGCTGAAACTACGACTTCTGGACCTCGAATGAATAAACCGACTCCGGATCTGAAATCGGAACAAAAACTCGAGTCAAACGGCGTCCGAACGAATAAAAAACGGTTTTCGGGTCAACGGTCAAAGTCAACAGTCAAAGTCAACGGTCAACGGTCAAACCGGTCCAACCAGTCAAACCGATCCGGTCAACTTAAACCAAAAATCAATTGATTTAAACCGACCGGTTAACCTAAACCAAGAATCAATTGATTTAAACCAGATTAAATCAATTTAGACCGACCGGTTAACCCAAACGGTCGGCGGCAACAAATTCCGGCAAACCTTACCGGAAAAGTCACCGGCGGCGACGGCGGTCCGGCGACGAAGCGGCGGTGGAATCCCGGCGGCGAACGGACGGCTGCCGATCACGGCGCCTCCGGCGAATAGCGGCGGTTCCGGTCACCGGCGGCGGCGCGTGAGATCCACGCTCCGAAGACTCGGCGGCGCGTGGGTGTCACGCGCTTCCTTCTTCCGGCGCGTGGCGGCGCGTGGCTCGTCGGCGGTGGCAGCGCTTGGTGTCTCCGACTTCGTCTCGTCATCACGAATCCGGTGGTGCCCTTGGATTTGCGAGATTCGAAGCGGTTAGGGAGAAATCTTGAAAATACTAAACGGCCCGAAACTAAAACATTTAAAACTTGGTTTTAGGAGTTACCTTCGACTAAGCTTTCCGTTGGCTTGGTCGGCTCGGTTACGGGAGAAGATGGACGGTGGTTCGGTGGTACTAACTCCGACGAGATTTCTACAGAGTAACACTACTCAGGAGAGTGTTGTGGAGAAAATGAGAATGGGAGGGGGTTTTTATAGAGAAATAGAGGAGGGGGTACCTAGGTTAAGTGGATGGGCTTCATGGGCTTCGAATGGGCCTTGGGCCAATATTGGGCTGTTACACTCTTATAGCAGGGGGGATTGATAATACATCAGCGGTAACATTGGAATGGGCATTGTCAAGCTTGTTGAACAATCCAGAGGTACTGAAAAAGGCGAGAGATGAGATCGATAGAAAGATCGGTGTAGACAAGCTTTTGGAGGAATCAGACATCCCAAATCTTCCTTATCTTCAGAACATTGTATCTGAAACGTTACGTCTGTCCCTGCAGCCCCCATGCTGCTTCCTCACGTCGCCTCGAAAGATTGTAAAGTTGCGGGATACGATATGCCACATGGCACGATGCTATTGACTAATGCATGGGCTATACATAGGGATCCTCGGCTATTGGATGATCCAACTAGCCTCAATCCAGAGAGGTTCGAGAAAGGAGGAGAGGCTCATAAGCTTATGCCGTTCGGGCTAGGTAGACGGGCATGTCCTGGGTCCGGTTTGGCTCAGCGGCTAGTGACCTTGAGTCTCGGGTCTTTGATTCAATGTTTTGAGTGGGAGAGGATTGGAGAAGAAGAGGTTGATATGACTGAAGGTCCAGGACTCACAATGCCTAAAGGTATACCGTTGGTAGCCATGTGCAGAGCACGTGCCTTCGTTGGTAAAATCTTACCCGAGTCTGCTTAAGTTTTTATGTAAATAAATGCTAATACGTTGTTAAGCAACGGTAACTTATTAAAGGAAACGTATAAGCATAGTACAAATAAGAGCCAAAAATAGTACTCCAATGTATAATTGTTAATTTACAAATTTACAAATATGATTGTTCAGTTTTATCAATCAAACAATGTACTAGGTGGCTTTTGGACCACTATGCTAGACGTCAAATTTAAAATTTTTATAAGAAATCCAGCTAAAATATAAATTAGAATAATTATTAGGTATCAACATGATTAATGGGCACATGTGATTTGGCTGAAAAAAGATTTCGTTTTCAAAATCAACATCATCCTCTGTTATAATTCCAAATGATATCCTTGAGGAAGAAGAAGTCAAATATGGAAGGTCAAACCCTAATTTTCACATTTCTTTTCGTATGTCTATCTCTCGCATTCCTCATTGGAAGAATCAAGCGAAAGCCTAACCTTCCTCCGAGTCCGGCTTGGGCGTTAGTGCGTTACCGGTGATTGGTCACCTCCGCCTTCTCAAGCCACCGCTCCACGGGGTTTTCCTCTCCGTCTCGCAATCCCTAGGCGACACTCCGATCATCTCCCTCCGTCTTGGCAACCGACTGGTTTTCGTTGTCTCTTCACACTCAATCGCCGAGGAATGTTTCACTAAGAACGATGTCGTACTCGCGAACCGCTTTAACTCCCTTGCTTCAAAACACATCTCATATGGCTGCACCACCGTGGTTACAGCTTCGTACAGCGACCACTGGAGAAATCTCCGACACATTGGCGTTGTTGAGATATTCTCGGCTCACCGGCTCAATAGCTTTTCATCTATCCGCCGAGACGAGATCCAGCGGCTTATAACTTGTCTCTCACGGAACTCTTCACTCGTAAGTGATATTTTTTCCACTTTAGAATAGCTTATATGGAAATTTGAAATGGATTAGACCTTAATTTCTATTTTAGGATAATTTCATGTTATTGGCAAAATTTATTTTAATCAGAATCTTTAGTCTCTTGTCAATCTCTGTTTATAGGTGAATTTTTGTGAATTTTGTCAATGATTTAACTTAGGGTATATAATAAAAAAATTTGCAGGAATTTGCCAAGGTCGAGATGTGATCAATGTTTTCTAACTTAACATTTAACAACATCATTAGAATGGTGGCTGGAAAATGTTACTACGGAGACGGTGCAGAGGATGACCCGGAGGCTAAACGCATACGGGAGCTTATCGCAGAGGGGATGAGTTGTTTTGGTGCCGGAAACACTGCTGATTATTTACCGGTCTGAGTTGGATTACAGATTCCGAGAAACGGATAAAGAAGATCGCTGGTAGGCTTGATGAGTTCTTGCAAGGATTGGTCGATGAGAAACGAGAAGGGAAGGAGAAGAGGGAGGAGAACATAATGGTCGATCACTTGCTTCGTCAGCAAGAAACACAATCCGAGTACTACACGGACAACATTATCAAAGGGATCATGCTCGTAAGTAATATTTTTAAGTTCATGAGTCGATTTAGCCAATTGTGGAAATAATTAGTTTTTTTTTTTATTGCAGTCTCTTATATTGGCGGGGACTGATACATCAGCAGTAACATTGGAATGGACATTGTCGAGCTTGTTGAACCATCCAAAGATACTAAGCAAGGCGAGAGAAGAAATCGACAATGAAGTAGGCTTTGTGATAGAGAGGCGGAAGCTATGTAACAAACACGAAATCGAATTCTCCTGGAGAAGACGATATCGAACTCGGATCTTACTAGAAACGCTTAACGTTTAAGTAATAGGGGTGAGAATCCTCTTCTCAGGGCTAAAAGCTCTTTAATAACTGAATTCAATAAAAACCAAGATGATCTACAATGTGAGTCGAGATCGACTACTTATAACAAATAAGAGATAAAGCCAACGAGATAAAGAGAATCAAGAGAAGTAATCTAGAAAGGATTTGAGTATATCCTTGACAAAACAGAATGAGAAAACAAATAGAAGAAGAATGGGCCGAGGGTGGTCAGCCCACGAAGGAGTCTGTCACGAGGCCCGATTGTTGCAGAGGATGCGCTGCATCAGGTCCCTCCGGGTGAGAGAGGGTTCGACCACGAACCAAGAGCGTCGTTGTCGCCGCGAAACGGAGACAAATACTTCACATTAAAAACATCCGATGTTCGCAGATGAGGAGGAAGCTTGACACGATACGCGTTGGCGTTAATCCGTTCCACCACTTCAAGTGGACCAATTTTCTGTGACTTAAGCATATTGTATTCACGGAGAGGAAAGCGGTCCTTCGTTAAGACAACCCACACCAAGTCGCCAGGATTAAAAATCAGCTCCCGACGTTTCGAATCAGCCGCTTCTTTGTACTTGGTCGCCGCAGCCTCCAAATTGGCTTGAGCTTCCGTATGAACTTGCTGAAGTTCCTCCACGAAGTCCAAAGCTTGCCCATGTAGGCGAGTTTGATCGGGGAGTGTTGTAAGGTCCAATGGGCAGCGCGGAATAAACCCATAGACAATCCGAAATGGAGAAAACCCAACACTACGGTTAAATGCATGGTTATGAGCAAACTCCGCTTGACAAAGCTTGGCATCCCAACTCTTGATGTTATCCCCTACTAAACAGCGCAGCAAATCTCCGAGAGCGCGATTAGTGACTTCGGTTTGGCCGTCGGTTTGTGGATGATAAGCGGAACTCATATCCAAGCTTGTCCGTAAGAGCTTCCACAAAGATCGCCAAAAATGGCTTAGGAATCGTGTGTCCCTATCCGAGACAATGGATGTAGGCAATCCATGCAAGCGATAAATTTCCTTGAAAAATAGTGAAGCCACCGTGACAACATTTGTGGTCTTCTTACAAGGAATGAAATGAGCCATTTTCAAAAAACGATCCACCACGACGAAAATCGAATCATTCCCACGTTGAGTGCGAGGCAGCCCTAAAACGAAATCCATACTCACATCGGTCCATGGTTGTGTCAGGATTGGCAATGGAAGATAAAGACCAGCGTTGGATGCTTTTCCTTTAGACATTTGACAAACTCTACAACGTTCCACAAAACGTTCAACATCGCGTCTTAAGGTTGGCCAGAAGTAAGATGTTGATACTAATTGTAATGTCCGGTCTCGACCAACGTGTCCTTCGTTATGGAGCTCACTAATTATTTGAAGGCGCCAGCTGCCTTCAGGGACACAAATCCGTAAACCCTTGAAAAGGAACCCATCTTGAAGTGAAAAATCGTCTGTGAGGTTGTTTTCCGCGTCTTGGAGGATTCGTGAGAAAAAGGGTCAGTCTTGTAGAGATCCGCAATCGTTGCAAAGCCCTTAACGGATGCGTGTATGGTCGTCAAAAGCGTGTGTCGACGACTTAATGCATCAGCTACTCGATTTGTTTTCCGGATTGGTGTTTTATGGAGAAAGTGAATTGTTGTAGGAAGGCGATCCAGGAGGCATGTCTTGATGAAACCTTCGCTTGACTATCAAGATGACGCAGTGCATCATGATCCGTGAAAAGAACGAAGTCGCGGTGAACCAAATAATGTCTCCAATGCTTGATTGCTTGAACAATTGCATAAAACTCCACGTCGTAAGTGCTATAGCGGCCACGTGCTCCCGATAATTTTTCGCTGTAATATGCGACCGGCCTGCTTTGTTGACTAAGCACCGCGCCAATTCCTAGCTTAGAGGTATCACAATGTAGCTCAAAGGTCAAGGAAAAATCGGGAAGGACCAAAATGGGGGCTGTCGTGAGCTTGTGTTTGATGAGTGTAAACGCCTCATCAGCCTCCGGTGTCCATGAGAACTTCCCATCACGTATGCAGTCCGTGATAGGGGCGACAATGCTGCTGAAATGGTGGACAAAACGGCGATAAAAGGAGGCGAGACCGTGAAAACTGCGTACTTCCGTCACTGTGCGTGGTACTGGCCAAGAACGAACAGCTTCAATCTTGGATTCATCTACGGATAACCCTTTGTCAGAAATAATGTAACCCAAAAAAAGAACTTGCTTGACTCCAAATTCACACTTGTGACGGGCTGCGAATAATTTTTCATTTCGGAGAACAGTTAAAACGGATCGGAGGTGAGTCTCGTGTTCGTCGCCGGAAGAGCTGAAGATGAGTATGTCGTCAAAGTACACGACGACGAATTTTCCAATGAACGGTCGGAGGGCTTGATTCATCACACGCATGAACGTACTCGGAGCATTGAAGAGTCCAAACGGCATTACCAACCATTCAAACAGTCCCTCACGGGTCTTGAAAGCGGTCTTCCATTCATCCCCAGGACGAATCCGTATTTGATGGTAGCCACTCTTCAAGTCGATCTTAGTGAAGATAGATGCCTTCCCAATCTGGTCTAATAGATCGTCTAACCGAGGAATAGGAAAGCGGTAACGGACTGTGATTTTGTTGATGGCACGGCTATCAACGCACATACGCCATGTTCCGTCTTTTTTTGGAATGAGAAGAGCGGGCACGGCGCACGGGCTGAGGCTCTCACGTACATGGCCCTTGCTAAGAAGTTCTTCTACTTGTCGGCAGAGCTCATCATGTTCTTGTGGACTCATGCGGTAGTGAGGTCGATTTGGTAGTGTAGCACCGGGAACGAGGTCAATGTGGTGTTGAATGTCACGGAGAGGAGGCAATTCTTGTGGTAGTTCATGAGGGAACACGTCTGCGAATTCCGTGAGGACACCATCAAACAAACTAGGGGTTTGCGGAGTGGCTGGTTTTGGTGACGAAGTGAGGACGGCTAAGGCGAAGCCTTCTTGTTGTAATTCCTTTTCAAAAGTAGAAAAAGAACAGAGAATGGTGACACGGTGATGACCCGTAGCTGTCAGTGTTTTTGGAGGTGGTGGTGATTTTTTGGGCGGCGGTGTTGCGTGAGGCACTAAGGGAGTGTCCGATGATGGTAGCAGCAGGATTTTGTGAGTTTCCCAAAGGAACTCATAGGTGTTGGCGGCTCCATCGTGAATGATTTTGCGATCATATTCCCATGGCCTCCCCAAAATTAAGTGGCTCACGTTCATTTGTGCGATGTCAAAATACAACCTGTCTTTGTAGAATGGGCCTATAGAGAAAGGAAAAAGGGTCCGATGAGACACACGAAATGAAACGCCTTCTTGCAGCCATGTGATTGAGTAGGCTGTAGGGTGTGCTTCAAAAGGCAAGCCTAGCTTGCGGGCTACTTCCTCCGCAATAATATTACGACAGCTTCCCGAATCGATGACAAAGGTACAAACGCGGCATTTGACGGTACAAGTCGAACGAAAAATATTGGTGCGTAGCCAGTGTTCTTCTCGTTGTTGTGGAGTCAAACACAAGAAACATGACACTAGCACACGACATGTATCACCTGGAGTAGCATGTGTCGTGATAGGTTGTTCTGTTCCTTCATCTTCTAGTGAATCATAGTCAGGATCTTCGTCTATCACCTTACCATCTTCAATAAGGAGCCCACGTTGGGCTTGGTTGGGGCAGGCGGTTTGTCGATGACCTGGTTCTCCGCAGGAATAACACCTTAGAGCATTAGGACGAGTGGAACGGCGCAAAGCAGGCTCTGCTTCTTTGGTGGTGTGAGTTGTACTCGTATTTCCTTGCTCTGTTGTATCGCGCGATGTCACACTCGTGGTGGTGGGTTTCTGGTCTGTGTTGCGGGATCGAGAGAAGGAAGAGTTTGAGGCTGTGCGAAATTGTTGCTCGAAAGATGAGGCACTTCTATGAGCTTCTGCGACTGTGGATGGGTCAAATTGGGCCAGGGCGTTCTGAATTTGAGATCTCAATCCACCAATAAATCGTGAAACCATTTGAACTTCGCTGTCATAAATGTCATTGCGGGTGGCCAAGAGGTAAAATTCCTCCGCATACTCCTCAACGGAACGTGCTCCTTGACGCAAATTCTGTAGACGATTATACACAGTACGGTCGTAATTGTGTGGAAGGAAGGTGTCCCGTAACTTTTTCTTGAGCTTATCCCATGAACGGATTGGTTCTTTCCCGGTGCGAGCTCGTGATGACTTGAGTTGTTGCCACCAAGACGCTGCGTGTCCCCGAAAACGTGTTGCAACGAGTGAAACCCTCCGATTATCTGGTACACCTTTAAACTCCAACACTTCTTCAACAGCTACCAACCAATCCAGAAGTGAATCGCCACGGATCCCTCCGACGAATTCTAGTATGTCCACTTTAAAACTAGTCTCCCAACGTGTGTCATGTTGTCGCTGCTCCTGTTGTCTGAAACGTGCGAGCTCGTGTTGCTGCGGGTATTCAAGTGCTAAGGGAAGTTGTTGCTGTTGCGGATTGTGTTGCTGGCCACCGTCAACGATGACCTGCTGGTTGTTTTGGTTTGCTGGTGCGTTGATGATGGCTGCTGGTGGCGGCGCTTGATTACCTCCCCCAAGATGTCGGATCAACACTTGACTCAGCTCTTGAATGGAAGTTTGCAGCGCTGCTTGTGATGCTTGCATAGCGGCTTGAGATGAGAGAAGAGTTTCATGAAACTCTTTCCAATCGATGTTGTTGTCTGGGATCTTCTCTCCTTCGTGCTTAGGAGGAGGCATGATTGATACAGAATTCAAATCCAGGAAAGACAAGAATCTGATACCAACTGATAGAGAGGCGGAAGCTATGTAACAAGCACGAAATCGAAGTCTCCTGGAGAAGACGATATCGAACTCGGATCTTACTAGAAACGCTTAACGTTTAAGTAATAGGGGTGAGAATCCTCTTCTCAGGGCTAAAAGCTCTTTAATAACTGAATTCAATAAAAACCAATATGATCTACAACGTGAGTCGAGATCGACTACTTATAACAAATAAGAGATAAAGCCAACGAGATAAAGAGAATCAAGAGAAGTAATCTAGAAAGGATTTGAGTATATCCTTGACAAAACAGAATGAGAAAACAAATAGAAGAAGAATGGGCCGAGAGTGGTCAGCCCACGAAGGAGTCTGTCACGAGGCCCGATTGTTGCAGAGGATGCGCTGCATCACTTTGAGAGGCTTGTGGAAGAATCAGACCTCTCACGTCTTCCTTATCTTCAGAACATTGTGTATGAGTCGTTGCGTTTATACCCTGCAAGTCCCTTGTTGGTCCCTCACGTGGCATCAGAAGACTGTAAAGTAGGGGGTTACGATATGCCACGTGGAACGATGTTATTGACTAATGCATGGGCTATACACAGGGATCCTAAGATATGGGATGATCCAACGAATTTTAAACCAGAGAGGTTCGAGAAAGAAGGGGAGGCTCATAAGCTAATGGGGTTCGGGCTAGGAAGAAGGGCATGTCCTGGGTCCGGTCTAGCTCAATGGCTAGCGAGCTTGACTATCGGGTCTTTGATTCAATGTTTTGAGTGGGAGAGGGTTGGTGAAGAAGAGGTGGATATGAGTGAAGGTGGCGGAGGAGTCATAATGCCCAAAGCTATACCGTTGGTAGCCATGTGCAGAGCACGTGCCTTTGTTGGTAAAATACTCAACGAGTCCGCTTGAGTTTAGACTTTTGTACTAAATGTAAATGCTAATTTATGTCGGTATGTTTTGATTGTTGGAGTTATTATAACTACTTTGTCAAATGTTCGAATTTGAACCTTGTGCTTCTACGTTTTAGGCCTTTTGTGTCGAACATTTTTTAGGCTTTGCGTTGGACAAGCTGGTGGGCTTTTTATATAGTGCTTTTTGGGCTTTTATGAACACACGCCCACAAACTATATAATATATATTTTTTAAATAATATATTTCCTTGAATGCATTCCGATGTATTAATCTCCAAAATAATAGTTAAAAAGAGAGACGAAGAAAAAACAAAGAGCCCCCAAACAAACAAAATGGATTTGACCCAAATCTTGATCCTCTCTTTTCTGTCTCTTTTTGCCTCCGCCATATTCTTGCTCACAAGATCCAAACGGAAACTGCACCTTCCTCCGTCTCCGGGGATCTCCTTGCCAGTGATCGGGCACCTCCACCTTCTCAAGCCACCGCTTCACCGGACGTTCCTTTCCCTCTCCCAATCCATCGGAAATGCTCCGATCTTCCATCTCCGCCTCGGAAATCGCCTCGTTTATGTCATCTCTTCACGTTCTATCGCCGAAGAATGTTTCACAACGAACGACGTCGTTCTCGCGAACCGTCCCAAGTTCACGATAAGCAAGCACGTCGGCTACAACGGCACCTACTTACTCTCTTCATCTTACGGCGATCATTGGAGGAACCTCCGCCGCATCGCCGCCGTCGAGATATTATCCACTCATAGACTCAATTCGTTTCTTTATATTCGTAAGGACGAGATCCGACGGCTCATTTCACATCTCTCTCGAGATTCCTTACACGTATGACCTCCTTAAATTCTTTGTTTATTATTTGTTCTGTATTCTGTTCTTTTTTGTTCTTTTGTCAACTAACATACGTTTATATTTATTGTGACTAGTTTATTTTTTCAAGCATTGCGTGTATATTATATTTATGATACTAGCTTTAAATCTATATATAAAGATGCAGTGTAGGTTTTGATTGTTTTAAGTTGGTTTATTATTTGGTTATGTTCAAAATAAACATATTAGAAAGCAAACGGAAATGCATAAATAATTAATGTTTACCAAAACTCTTATCTGTTTACTACTACTCCTAATTGTATTCGTACTCTCAGGGATTTGTGGAGGTAGAGATGAAAACATTATTAACCAATTTGGCATCCAACACCACCATCAGAATGTTGGCCGGGAAGAGATATTTTGGTGAGGACAACGATGAAGCTAAACTCGTGAAGCAACTTGTGTCGGAGGTGGTGACCAGCGCTGGTGCAGGAAACGCCATTGATTATCTTTCCATTTTACGTTGGGTCACGAGTTATGAAAAACGAATCAAGAATTTGGGAAATAGGTTTGATGCGTTTTTGCAGCGATTAGTCGACGAAAAACGTGCAGAAAAGGAAAAAGGTGAAACTATGATCGATCACTTGCTTGCTCTCCAAGACATTCAACCTGATTACTATACGGATGTCATCATCAAAGGAATCATACTTGTAAGTATCAATCAATAAGCAAGTACACGATATATATATATATATATATATATATATATATATGAATAGAAAGAGTTTAATGGTAGAAATGTGTGTAGACTCTTATAATTGCAGGGACAGATACGTCATCAGTAACACTAGAATGGGCAATGTCAAATCTGTTGAACCATCCAGAAATACTTAAAAAAGCGAGAATGGAAATCGATGAAAAAGTTGGTCTAGACCGGCTAGTAGACGAATCAGACATTGTAAATCTCTCTTATCTCCAAAACATTGTATTGGAAACGCTACGTATGTACCCTGCAGTCCCACTACTACTACCTCATTTGTCATCAGAAGATTGTAAAGTTGGAGGATATGATATACCAAGTGGAACAATGGTGTTGACCAACGCATGGGCCATGCATAGAGATCCAGAGTTATGGGAAGATCCGGAGATATTCAAGCCGGAAAGATTTGAAAAAGAAGGAGAGGCTGAGAAGCTATTCTCATTTGGGATGGGACGAAGAGCTTGTCCTGGAGCCGGGCTGGCTCATAGGCTAATAAACCTGGCTCTTGGAAGTTTGGTTCAATGTTTTGAGTGGGAAAGAGTTGGTGAGGAGCTTGTGGACATGACCGAAGACAAAGGAGCCACATTGCCCAAAGCTATACCATTAGGAGCCATGTGCAAAGCACGTTCTATTGTTGGTAAACTGATTTAAATGTATTTTATTTAATGACAAGTTTTTATGTTTTTAATTATGTGTTTTGGTCGTCCCTCGATCTTTTATTGTAACTTTGAATCTTGTTTAATAATCGGCTTAATGTCCACCCTCGATCTTTTGTTGTAACTTTGAATCTTTTTTTTTTTTTCATCTTGTAACTTTGAATCTTGTTTAATATTATCGGCTTGATGTCCACTACTAGTCATTGTGGTCAATTACTAACTTCACGTAGTGAATCTAAAGCTTATGCCATTTGGGCTTATCTGGTAGTTGGGCTTATCACCGGTTAGTGGGCATGCCTCTTGGGTCATTGGTGTCGAACTTAATGATATGACTATGAGTTGACCGGTTGACCCGTATTATGTTGTGCGTTGTGTCTTTTACTCCACTAAAACGGTGAGGAAGGGTAAAAAAAAGGGAAAATGTTTCTCTACGCCAACAATACGTCATCACATCGTCACACATGCAGACAAAGAAAATATTGCGACAACTACACCAACTACTGCAATCACATAACGACATACACGAACTAACATGAGTTATGGTGCCAACACCATAAACATACATTCCGGTACTGTTCCGGTGAAAGACGCGACAGAATCCGGCACCGGAGATACCTAATTGTAAACCCGACCCAAATTAAAAAAAAAAAAAAACAAAAAAAGGCCAAAATTAAATAGAACCCGACCCATAACTCGTGATAAAACCCAACCCAAAATAATTAAAACTACCGTAAATTAACACAAGAATGTCGATTCTCTGTTCTTAGTCTGGTTTCGAGAGCTTAGAAGTGAGGTGTGTTGAGAAAAAGAGATTTCTAAATCTTTGTAAGAATATAGCTAATTCTCGGATTTCATCGGGTTTGAAACAGGTATGTTGTAATTTGATTTCTTAAGAATTTGTGAGAATAGATTTGAATAGATTTACTCGATGAGTATAATGGGACATATTTGCGTGTTGATTGTTGTGATGGAAAGGATTTCGTATTTATTTTGGTAGTAATTGAACATGAAATTGATGCAGATCAGTTGTTTGTTGAAATGTTTAAAAGAAGAGTTTTGTTGTCTGATTTTTTGCAAGATGGATACAAGTAGTGGGTCATCTAGTTTGAGTAGATCGTCTGGAGCTCTAAAAAAGTGTAATTGTGGATTGCCTGCGAAGATATACAAACCCGACAAAACCCAGAAAAAATCACAGACAATATCAACAATAAGTTAAAATCCAAAAACCCCAATGTCGGGATCTGTTTCGACTTTATACACCCAAATCAACCCAGAAAACTTGAGTTCTTACCTCATTGGAACGAGATTCCGTTACGATTCACTCTCTAAGCTTTAATCGTGACAATATTGGAGAAGAAATGTGGCGATTCGAAAAGTCCCTCTTCTACGCTCATGAACCCTAAATCGCAAAGAGAGAGTTTGATTATGGTCTCGGTAATTACGTTTGTTGTTGTTAAATTAGTGTTGGGCTGGGTGTAGGCCCAATTAGTTTTTAGTTGGGTTTTTATTAACTCGGGTTGGTTTTTGATTGTGTCTGGGTCGGGATTTAATTATTTGGGTCGGGTTTACAATTGGGTATCTCCGGTGCCGGATTCCGTCGCGTCTTTCACCGGAACGGTACCGGAATGTATGTTTATGGTGTTGGCACCATAACTCATGTTAGTTTGTGCATGTCGTTATGTGATTGCAGTAGTTGGTAGCTAACGCAATATTTTCTTTGTCTGCATGTGTGACAATGTGATGACGTATTGTTGGCGTAGCTGAGAAACATTTTCCCTAAAAAAAACTAAAAAGACAATTCCTTTCATATATAAAATTCACACCACACACTCCAATAATAAGTGCATCAGTAGGTGAAAAAAAAAGTGCATCGAGGTGTGATTCTATTCATCGCACCCAACAAGCTAGTCTATCATCATTTGTCCAAACTACGGCTGAAAATTTAATTTGTTAAAATCAAAATAAATTGAAAATTGCTTCCATCATATTTGAACCTATTTAATTTAATTTGTTAAATTGTGGAACATATTCTAAAAACACGTCATATTGTTATTATTAATTTTTTTTTAATTGCACGTCATAAAATTTTGATGGATAGACTTAGACAAGACGCTAATCGATCTGAACGGTAAAAATTGATAATGAGGTTGGAAGGTGTAGTAACCTTTCTCTCCATAGTTATAAATTATTTGTCTTGAAAACTTTACTTTATGTAATTGATAAAGAACTTTTTCATTTTTATCCTTTTTCAGTGTGTGTACACGCTTGAAAGCGGAAAAGATGAACTCAGACTAATAAAAGGAAACGGAACTTAGAAAACAAAACATTTCACTCGACCAAAGCCCTTAGCTTCTAACTTCATTCATTCGAAAGAACACACATTATGTTGAGTTTAAACACATGTAAGTAATACAATAAGGACAATAACACAAATCACTAGGTATATGACTGTCTTTTTTATTTTATTTTTTAAGTCGGCAGATGTACTATCTTTTACATATTGACATATTTTTATCATTTTCCCTTTTTAGGTAGAGCAATAAGAAATATTTTTTTCTTAAATTCCCTACAAAACAGGAAATTTACCTAACTTTCTTATTGAAAGTGAATTATTAGCTTCTCTTTCAAAGCAAATTAAAATCTCAATCCAAACCATTTCCAAAATTTCAAGTATCTTTCGTTCTCAGTCAATTAATTTTCGTGTTTTAAAGACCACAAAGTACCCATCTGGTCCATCTCGATTTCGTGTTTTAAAGACCACAAAGTACCCATCTGGTCCATCTCGATCCCACACACGACACAACTTTACAAAAAAAGAAAGACCAAAAAACAAAGAAAGCAATCAACAAGAAAATGGACATCACCCAAATCCTGCTCCTCTCCTTTCTCTTTCTCTCTATCTCTATCAAACTCTTGCTCACAAAATCTAACCGGAAACCTAATCTTCCTCCTTCTCCGGGTTACCCTTTACCGGTTATCGGCCACCTCCACCTCCTCAAGCAACCGGTCCACCGAACATTCCTCTCCATCTCTCAGTCCCTCGGAAATGCTCCGATCTTCCACCTCCGCCTGGGAAACCGCCTCGTTTACGTTATCTCCTCACATTCCATAGCCGAAGAATGTTTCACCAAAAACGACGTCGTTCTTGCGAATCGTCCTGATATCATCATGGCCAAACACGTCGGCTATAACTTTACCAATATGATTGCAGCACCTTACGGCGACCACTGGAGGAATCTCCGCCGCATTGCCGCCGTCGAGATTTTTTCTTCTCATAGAGTCAGTACTTTTAAGTCTATCCGTAAAGACGAGATCCAACGGCTCATAACACTTCTCTCTAGAGACTCCTTACACGTAACACCTTCTTATTTTTATATTTTTTATTATTTAAAAATAAAAACACCTTCTTATTTAACTCGATTTTTTATCTTTTCTTATTTAAGTAAATCAATTTTTTTTTTAAACATCAGTAAATCAAAAAATTTAATCTACTACTCGACACTCGTGAGGTTGAATTACTAGTCAAATTTTTCGACAATAAATCAATTTTTTTTAATCTGCGTACTTTTAACTAAAACGTCTTATATTTTGAAACAGAGGATATTTGTCTGTTGTTCTAGACTTCTAGTCTCTCACAATTGAAAATACTTTTATATATACATATGTCTCTACTCAAATATTCGAAATATTCCCTACTACATATACGATTGAAAATTTAAGATTATGTATACTACATGTTAAATTTGAAACAGTATCTGTAAAATGAACAAATAAATTACATAAAAATGTGGTTGAATATTTTTTTATTCATTTATTAGTATAGTTTTGTGTAAATATTTAATGTTGCACAACGTAATAAATTTGACTAGTAATCGATCGTCCCACAGGGATTTGTTGAAGTGGAGTTGAAATCATTATTAGCCAACTTGGCATTCAACAACATCATCATGATGGTAGCCGGAAAGCGATATTACGGTAGCGGTACAGAAGACAATGATGAAGCCAAGCTCGTGAGGGAACTTATATCGGAGGTAATGACGGGCGCCAGTTCTGGCAATTTGGCTGATTATCTTCCGATCATAAATTGGGTCACAAACTTTGAGAACCAGACCAAGATTTTGGGGAATCGACTCGATAGATTCCTGCAAAAATTGGTTGATGAGAAACGTGCAGAGAAAGAAAAGGGTCAAACTTTGATCAATCATTTGCTTTCTTTCCAAGAAACCGAACCCGATTACTATACTGATATCATCATCAAAGGAATCATACTCGTAAGTTCATATTAACTAATATTATTCTATATATAATATATGGAGTGAGTTTACTTATTAGAAATATATATACACAGGCTCTGGTTCTTGCGGGGACAGATACATCTGCAGTAACGTTGGAATGGGCAATGTCAAATTTGTTGAACCATCCAGGGATACTTGAGAAAGCGAGAGCGGAAATCGATGAAAAAATCGGTTCAGACCGGTTAGTTGAAGAATCAGACATTGGAAATCTCCATTATCTCCAAAACATTGTGTCGGAAACACTACGTTTGTATCCTGCGGTTCCACTACTCCTCCCTCATTTCTCATCGGATGAATGTAAAGTGGCGGGCTACGATATGCCACGTCGCACGTTGTTATTAACAAACGTATGGGCGATGCATAGAGATCCAGGTTTATGGGAAGAGCCAGAGAGGTTCAAACCGGAGAGGTTCGAGAAAGAAGGAGAGACTCGAAAGCTAATGCCGTTTGGGATGGGACGACGAGCTTGTCCTGGAGCCGAGCTTGGGAAGCGGTTAGTAAGTCTTGCTCTTGGCTGTTTGATTCAGTGTTTCGAGTGGGAGAGAGTTGGTGAAGAACTTGTGGACATGACTGAAGGCGAAGGGATCACTATGCCTAAAGCTACTCCGTTGCGAGCTATGTGCAAGGCACGTGCCGTTGTTGGTAAAGTGATATAATTAACCTGTAACTGTAACTTATAGTTTCATACATCCCACGTGTTCTTACTTCTTAGAAATAAAAGTATTATGTGGTCAATAAGTTGGATGCAGAGCAATAAAAGAAATAAGTGTTTCGACTTCCACAAGATCAAGAAAAACGGTTGGTACATAGTATCAAGTATCAATCACAGGTCATCAAGAATATGTCAAGGATCAATCATTGTTCTAAATATGACAAGTATATATATTGTATTTATGTTGTAATTAGAACTCTCTAGAATCCTTCTCTTGTATATATACCTCTTGTATCTCAATCAATAGAATAATCAAATTCCCAATTCATTCTATTCTCTATATGGTATCAGAGAAATACCGATCCTAGAAACCTAAAAATCTTTCCTTTTTCTCTCCTCCTTTTCCTCGTCCCCGTTTATCTCTTCTCTTCATCAATGGCCACCATTGCTGCCGATCAATCACAGGTCATCAACCTCAACCTCAACGCCACTTCCATTGTTAACATTAACATGGCTAATGTTACCAAGCTCACGACCTCCAACTACATCATGTGGAGCCGCCAAGTTCACGCTATTCTCGATGGTTACGGTCTCGCCAAGCATCTTGATGCCTTGGCCAACGTACCAGACAAGGAGATCACGGTCAATGCCGTCACTTCACCAAATCCTGCTTTTGAAGCTTGGACCAGACAAAATCGCCTGGTCTACTCTGCTCTCATCGGCGCCCTCTCCCTCAGCGTCCAGTCCACAGTCTCTCGTGCCAACACCGCCGCTGACGTCTGGAATACGCTTGCCTCAACCTATGCTAAGCCGAGTCGTGGCCACATCAAACAACTCAAGCATCAACTCAATCAGTGGACAAAGGGTACCCGCACAATTGATGAGTATGTTCAGGGCCTAACGAATCGTTTTGATCAGTTAGCTCTCCTGGGCAAACTCATTGACCATGAAGACCAACTTGACTACATTCTCCAAGGGCTACCCGAGGAGTACAAATCGGTGGTTGACCAAATGGAAGGTCGTGATGTCCCGCCAAGTCTGACAGAACTCCATGAGAAGCTTCTTAATCATGAAGCCAAGATCATAACTGCTCAGCCCGCGACACCGTTTCCTATCACGGCCAACTATGCTACCAACAATCGTGGTCGCTCCTCCTCCAAGCCATCACACACTCAACCTTGGAAGCCACAACAATCCTCTGCTCGTGGACCCGAAGTTCGTGGTCCATTCAAGCCATATCTTGGTAAGTGTCAAATTTGTGGCATTCAAGGACATTCCGCTAAACGCTGCTACCAGCTTCAAACATTCCAAGCTCAGGCACCAGCCAACCCACCATTGCTGCCAACACCTCCGCAGCCTCCGATGTCGTGGCAGCCCAGAGCCAACTTTGCCACTGCTGCACCGTCACCATTCCCGTACAACCCGTGGATCCTTGACTCTGGCACCACGCACCACATAACCTCTGATCTAAACAACCTAGCTTTACACCAGCCATACAACGGTGGTGAAGAGGTTCTCATTGGGGATGGTTCAGGTCTGAAAATCACCCATACCGGTTCAACTTCTCTGCCCTCCTCATCTCAATCTTTATCTCTACGTGATGTTTTATATGTTCCTGAGATTCAGAAAAATTTAATTTCTGTATACCGCCTTTGTAACGCTAACAAAGTCTCTGTTGAATTTTTCCCGGCCTCATTTCAGGTGAAGGATCTCAAAACGGGGGCCCGGTTACTCCAAGGGCGAACTAAAGCGGAGCTGTACGAGTGGCCTAATCCTACATCCATTCCCACATCCTATCTTACCACCACATCAAAACCAACTTTAAAAGAGTGGCACTCACGTTTAGGCCACCCATCTCTCCGCATTCTTAAAACAATACTCTCTCAGTTTTCTTTACCATTTTCTGATTCTCAAATAAAGTCGCTTTGTCGAGATTGCTCTATTAATAAAAGTCACAAATTATCTTTTTCTGAAACCTCAATCTCTTCTTCTCGTCCCCTCGAAATTCTCTTTAGTGATGTATGGACATCTCCGATTATTTCAATCGATAATTACAAGTATTATCTCATAATCGTTGATCACCATACTCGCTACACTTGGCTTTATCCACTCAAATTCAAATCACAAGTCAAAGAAACCTTCATTCGATTCAAAGCTCTTGTCGAAAACAAGTTTCAAACACGTATTATAACTCTTTTCTCCGACAATGGTGGAGAATACATAGCCCTAAGAGATTTTCTAGCCACAAACGGCATCACCCATCTCACTACACCACCTCACACTCCCGAACATAATGGTCTTTCAGAACGCCGTCATCGACACATTGTTGAGACCGGTCTCTCCCTTCTTTCACATGCCTCTATCCCAAACACTTATTGGTCTTATGCTCTAGCTGCAGCCGTATACCTAATAAACCGCATGCCTACACCAACTCTATCTTTCCAATCGCCATACCAAAAGCTTTTTCAAACAAATCCAAACTACCAAAAACTTAAAACCTTCGGATGCCTCTGTTTCCCTTGGCTTAGACCGTACAATTCACATAAACTCCAACCAAAATCTTCTCCTTGTGTCTTTCTCGGTTACTCTCTCACTCAAAGTGCCTACATATGTATAGAACCACAAAATCATCGAATATATATTTCTCGTCATGTTCGTTTTGATGAAACAAATTTTCCCTTCTCCTCTCTGCAACCAAACACTCGAAATATCTCACCTCCACCTATCTCCGAAACACAACCTCTCCAAGTCCAACGTATCACCCTCGTACAGCCACCGTCGCCTCCGACCTCGCCCCCGCGTTGTGATTCGTTGCCGGAGATGACGCCGGAAAATTCTACAGAGGCTCTGTCCTCCACGTCAAGCTCTTCTGGTGATTCACCAAGCCCAGTAAACTCAACAACGTTTTCTGCAGCCCATTCTCCCAGTCAGGCCCAAGACCACAATTCACCAACTAATTCAGCCCATAGTCAAAGCCCTTCAGAGGACAATTCAGAGACAGGCCCAATACACAACTTGGCCCAGCCAGAAAACAACGACACCACAACATCGTCTTCCTCAAGTGCTTCGCAAGCTGTTCCCGTGAATGAAAACCAACACTCCATGGCCACAAGATCAAAGTCTGGAATCATCAAACCAAACAAGAAGTATTCTCTCGCTGTAACACTAGCCAACTCAGATCTCGAGCCACGGACAGTTACACAAGCTCTTAAGGACGATCGATGGTGCAACTCGATGTCTGACGAATTCAATGCCCAAATAATCAATCATACATGGGATCTCGTTCCTCCACCGCCACCACATGTCAACATCATTGGTTGTAAGTGGATCTTCAGAACTAAATTTAACTCTGATGGTTCAATTAGCAGATTCAAATCAAGGCTAGTAGCGAAAGGATACTCTCAACAACATGGTCTAGACTACGCCGAGACGTTCAGTCCAGTGATCAAATCCACAACCATTCGAATTGTTTTGGGTATCGCAGTTGAACGGGACTGGCCAATTCGACAGCTTGATGTCAACAATGCCTTTTTACAAGGCACCCTCACGGAAGACGTATACATGTCACAGCCACCGGGTTACGTCGACAAGGATAGGCCAGGTCATGTATGTCATCTCAAGAAAGCTCTTTACGGTCTCAAACAGGCTCCCCGAGCATGGTATCTCGAGTTGAAATCATACCTTCTCTCCGTTGGGTTTGCAAACTCTGTTTCAGACACGTCTCTGTTTATTTTGAAGAAGGGATCATCTTTTCTATACATGTTAATCTATGTGGATGACATTTTAGTAACAGGAAATGATGCGGCTCTCCTTCAGTCAACACTCAATGCTCTTGCAAATCGATTCTCCGTCAAAGATCACGAAGAGCTCTCTTATTTTCTTGGTATTGAAGCTAAACGTGTTCCTAATGGCCTCCATCTCACACAGCGTCGCTATATTTTGGACCTTCTTGCACGACACAATATGTTGGCAGCAAGTCCAGTCGCTACGCCTATGGCAACATCACCAAAATTGAGCTTATTCTCGGGCACAAAACTCAGCGATCCAACCGAGTATCGATGTGTTGTGGGCAGCCTCCAATATCTTGCCTTTACAAGGCCAGACATCTCCTATGCCGTCAACCGTCTCTCTCAATTCATGCACTCTCCAACAGTGGATCATTGGCAAGCAGTGAAACGTGTTCTAAGGTATCTCGCTGGCACACCTACTCATGGAATTTTTCTAAGCCGCAACAACAACACACACACTCTCCATGCGTTCTCTGACTCCGATTGGGCCGGAGACACTGATGATTTTGTCTCCACCAATGCTTATGTCGTTTACCTTGGAAACCATCCTATATCGTGGTCTTCAAAGAAGCAAAAAGGAGTTGCTCGTTCTTCTACGGAGGCAGAGTATCGTGCCGTCGCAAACACGTCAGCTGAATTGTCTTGGGTACGGAACCTACTCACAGAACTCGGCATACAACTACGACAAACACCAGTTATTTATTGTGATAATGTTGGTGCAACCTATCTCTGCGCAAATCCCGTCTTCCATTCGAGAATGAAACACATTGCTTTAGCATATCATTTTATTCGGGGTCAAATACAATCTGGTGATCTTCGTGTGGCTCACATTTCCACCAAGGACCAGCTCGCAGATGCACTCACCAAACCTCTCTCGCGCACCACCTTTCAGTATCTAACTTCCAAGATTGGAGTTTCGAAGACTCCTCCATCTTGAGGGGGCATATCAAGTATCAATCACAGATCATCAAGAATATGTCAAGGATCAATCATTATTCTAAATATGACAAGTATATATATTGTATTTATGTTGTAACTAGAACTCTCTAGAATCCTTCTCTTGTATATATACCTCTTGTATCTCAATCAATAGAATAATCAAATTCCCAATTCATTCTATTCTCTATACATAGTTCACTGTTTCCATCTCCTGATTAGAGTAATCTTGGTCCAATGTTGGTTTCTTGAAATTTATAATTGGTTCGGTCATGTAACAAGGCCTACTATTAAAACTGGGCATTTGTTGGGCTTCGTAAAACTTTTTGTCTCTCTCTGCATTTTAAATTGAATACCCATTAACAAATCAGTAGTATATATATGTTCTTCACTGTCTGAACTAGTAATTCACAATTAGCTAAAAGTCAGCATTTTGTTTTGGACAAAAGGACCGTCGTGAATAACGAAAAGTTTGAATGTCATGTTATGTTGGTAGTTGGTACCGAATTTACCACGTTTTGATGATTATAATTGTAGAGAATGTCAACCAACCAATATTATTGTAAAGACAATAATGGATGGAAATCTAAGAATTCCGATTAGATATTTTTCTTATCGAGAACTTTCAACAAAACCTTTTGGATAATTGGATTGATTGAATGAAAGAGACATAAGTGGAACTTGTTCACAACAACCCAATGTAATATGAGTTGTTTTTTTTTTTTTTTTTTTTTCAAAGAAAAAATTGGCTGGCCTAAAAAAATTTCCCCGATTTTCCCAAAAAATAAAAAATATTTTTCCTTCTTAAAAAAACTCTAAAGAAAATGGGGACATGTTTGGCCAGATTAATACGCTAATCTTATTACTATTATTACTATCGTATGCACTATTTTTCTTAGTTGTGTTTTTGTTATTCTGTACTATTTAATGGCGTAAGGTGGAGAAACCAAAATATACACAAGTTAGAGAAAAAAAGAAGAGCAAAGGAGTTATGGATTATTGTATTTTACTTATCCTCACCATTCTTGTTACAATTCTCATCACCAAGATTTTTATCCTACTCGCTAAACCAAACAAAAACCTTCCACCGTCGCCACGTATCTGTTTTCCAATCATCGGACACCTTCACCTCCTCAAACAGCCACTGCTACACCGGACTCTCAGCCATCTCTCGCACTCCCTCGGCCCCGTCTTTTCTATACGCCTCGGCTCTCGTCTCGCCGTTATCATCTCGTCTCCAACGGTAGCAGAAGAATGCTTTTTGACGAAAAACGACATCGTTTTGGCAAATCGGCCTCGTTTCATCATGGGCAAGTACGTGGCTTATGACTACACCTCCATGGTTACGGCTCCTTACGGTGACCATTGGCGAAACCTCCGTCGTATCACCGCCTTAGAAGTCTTCTCCACGAATCGACTCAACGGCTCAGCAGAAATCCGACAAGACGAAGTGAAGAGGCTTCTCCAAAAGCTTCACGGTTTATCTGTGGAACGCCCGGCTAACGTACGTAGGTTTATCTTAAAATAAAATATTCTATTCTAATTCATTGAAATGTTTAAACCACACAAATTTATATGATATTTTATACTTGTATAGTATATATGAGAAAATAACTGGAAAAAAAAAATTCGACTGCCGTTACATAATCATATGTTTTCACGTTGCATTTTTTTTGTTTATAATATGATTTTTATATATTAATGACTCTCAAATTTAAAGTCAATAAATAGCTTAGACTAAGAATCATATAGTTAATAAATATTTTAAGAAAAATAATTACATATATGTAATACCTGAATTGATAAATATTATTTGAATTAAAATTTATAATGAGTTCCAATTTATATAATTAAATTTTTTATTTGAAGGCTTTAATCTTGTTAAGATAACAACACGATTAGGGATAAATTTGTCATATTTATCATTGATGTTAATTAAAAAAAATTAATCGTTGAATTACCTATAAATATTAATTGCTTGAAATAAATTTGCTCGATCTAGTAAATGGAACAAACAGTTCTTCTTCTTTCCGTTGCTATCAATATCATCAATATCAAATTCTAGAAAGTACAATTATATCCTTAATGCATCTTAGCTTTACTTCCGTTTAAGGATAAACCAGTTAATTAATATCAGGCCATAACAAAAGAACTTCATTTTTTTTTTCTAGGTGGAGTTACGACCGTTACTAACTGGTCTTACCCTAAATGTGATAATGAGAATGATGACCGGAAAGAGATTCTTCGAAAAAGATGAGAGCGGAAAGGCGGCGATAAGCTTGGAGTTCCGGGAACTAGTGGCGGAGATTCTAGAGCTCTCCGCGGCCGACAATCCAGCTGATTTTTTGCCGGCTCTACGGTGGTTTGACTACAAGGGTTTGGTCAAGAGAGCAAAAAGGATTGGAGAAAGGATGGATATTTTATTACAAGGGTTTTTGGATGAGCATAGAGCTAACAAAGACAGATTGGAGTTTAAGAACACTATGATTGGTCATTTGCTTGGTTCTCAAGAAAAAGAGCCTCATTACTACAGTGATCAAACCATCAAAGGTCTTATACTGGTATGTTTTTCTATATTCAGTCTTGTTTTTCGGTATAAAATTTCATATACGGAGATGATAATGTAGTAGTTATAATGATATTGACACTAAATCACCTTCCAGTATTGACTTGATTTCTCCAACCACCGCTAAAAATAATTGAACAACGAAGACAAACAAATGAAAAAGCCAACACTTAAAGAGTTGATATATATTGGTCCCATATTTATGTCAGAAATTCAGAATGATGGTCCATTTAATTACTAGATTTTTATGGAATAGTGGCAAAAATAATAATCAGAATAATTAAAAAACAGACTGAATTTTTCAAAATAAAGGATATAAACCATTTTGTTTAGATTTTGGCTCAACTTCAAGTTTTATAGGTTAGGGTTTATGATTTACGAATTACAGTGTAGTGCTTAGATCTTATAATTAGTTTAGGTTTTAGAGTTTATAATTTGAAATTTAAACTATTTTGTTGATGAAAGAAAATCTAAACTATTTTTTTTTAGTTTAATATAACTTTAGAATACTTTCATAATTATTATTTTCTTTTTTTTATAGATGATGGTAATAGGAGGTACGGATACATCGGCCTTAACCGTAGAATGGGCAATGTTAAATTTATTGAATCATCCACAAGTACTAGAGACCACGAGAAAAAACATTGATACTCAAATGGAATCATCATTATCATCATCAAGTACTCGTCAATTGTTGAAAGAAGAAGATTTGGTGAACATGAACTACTTGAACAATGTTGTGTCCGAGACACTAAGGCTTTATCCTGTGGCACCACTTATGGTTCCTCATTTGCCATCTTCTGATTGTGTAATTGGTGGGTTTGATGTTCCACGTGATACGATCGTGTTGGTTAACTTGTGGGCTATACATCGAGATCCAAGGGTGTGGGATGATCCGATGTCGTTTAAGCCAGAGAGATTTGAAGGGAGGGATCAGTTTGGACATTACAATGGTAAGATGATGCCCTTTGGGTTAGGGAGACGGGTTTGTCCCGGGATGAGTTTGGCTAACCGGGTTGTTGGGTTGCTGTTGGGTTCGATGGTTCAGTGTTTTGAATGGGAAAGTGGCTCAGGAGGTCAGGTTGATATGACTGAAGGTCCAGGACTTAGTATGCCTAAGGCTGAACCATTGGTTGTCACGTGCAGACCACGTGAGATGGCTTCCGAGTTGTTGTTCTTCGGATCAGAGCCAAGCAATAAGAATGTCTAGATTGGATTTTGTAAAACTATAAGTTAATACATTTTTTTTGGTTAACGAAGTTAATACATTATATCCATATGATTCAGTGATTTGGATTTTGATTTGCTATACAGCAAAATGGTTGGAGACACTCATTTTTTTTTTTTGGCCAACTGGCATGGGACTATGTGTTTATTGTAATCATGTAATGTCATATACTCATATATGCAATGTTGGTTGAGATAATACAGTCCACATAAAATTTGTTCTTATCAAGTTATCATGGATATTTTGAAAGTTATAAAGTTGTTCTATCGCTATAAAATTATTATAACCAGAAATTATTTTTTTAATATTTTATTACCATAATGTCAAGAAACAGAACATCTGAACAAGAAGATAAAGCATATGTTTGAAAGATCAATTCAAGAACTCTCGCTCCGGTTTGGTTTAGACGAAGACTCGGAATCAAAATCTTCCTCCGACGCAGGAACCCATTCGTTCGTCGCCGGATTGCTTCTGTAAACCGCTTTTTCTCCTCCGTCTCCGATTGCGGCTGCGGTTACGGCCTCGGTCGCTTCACCTCCGTCTTCCTTGACCACATTTATAAACCCACTTCCGGTCTAGTTTCAGAAACAGAACACGTTAAACAAAATTAGATTTCTTCTGATGAAATATTTAAGAACGAGTGAGAAAGAAAGAATTAAAAAACCGTGTGATGTTGCTTATCAATGGCAGTGAGATTTGTGTAATACTCTGTTTCCAAGAACTCATCTTGAACTGCAGATGAATCCCCCTCACCTAGAACTTTACCCTGTTTTTTGAAAACCAAAATCTTAAATTCAATGACAATGTTAGTTTATGTGAAGAGAAAAGAGTGGGTTTTAGAGAAAACCGAACATGAGTTTGTGACTGGAGAGATTGGAATTTGTCAGCTTCAGGATGGTCGGTGGTTTTGTCGGAAGCAGAGAAAGATCCAGGAGGTCCCGGTTCGCTTCGAGTGGGTTTAGTGGGTCGTTTTGGAGCCAAGGAATCGAAATCAGCTCTGATCTGGTTCGCGTTCTTGATCTGTTGATCCGGGTCGGATATTTCGTCGCTCCGACTTGGCTTCATCGTACTCATCGTCTTCTCTGTCCACTGCTTTACAACACAAACATGCAAAAAAGAGAATGGATATGTGCTCTCTGGTTTTTGGTTGTGAATTAAAAAGAAAATATAATTGGGCTTTAATGGGCTTTTTGTTCGATGTTTCAAAACAATTTCTTATAATGGGCTTTTTGTTAGGTTTTTCATTACAGTTTCATACTAAAAAAGGGGGGCGTGTTAATAGAGATGTCAATAAAAATAAAAACTTTTTTATATTAAAAAACGTATAATTGGATGATTTTTTTCTATTAATTTCGTAATTACCGGGCTTTTAAGGATTCGATCGAAAGCTGGATGGCATGATCGTAATTGTCGAAATTAAGCCCCACTCAGAGAACACAGTGTATAAATTATTTTTTAAACGTCCTTTTAACTCCCCAAAGGCCAACATTTTCGAACCAAAAAAAAAAAAATATTAAAAACAATTTTTTAAAGTACTAAAAAACGTTTGCATCTCATCAAAATTCGTTTAAATCACGAACTATAGTTTGCGACAAATTTTAATTCCAATTATGTAGTAAAACCTGAATAAATCATTGTCTTCTTTATAAGATAATCATGTGGCTTGGCTGTATCATTTGTGTTGCACTAGAATGGCCGATAACATCTCCCAAGTTTTTTTTCTTTTTTTTTTTGGGTGGTTTATCCTGAAATCTATATGATTGATTCATGGCTTGACGTAGATCTCAAAATTAAATTTTAAATTCTATCAATTTATTGGCACGTAATATACATTGGTGCTTATGAGAAGGAAACCGACTATTGTATGATCAAAGAATATCACCCTTCTAAACTTTACATTGATCTTTAACGACTGATAAATATAATAATCTATAACAAATGAAAATATAATTCTATAACCTAAGCTAAATAAATATCGAAGTAAACGAAATAATGTTTTGTTTTGGGTTAGTATTTTAGTGACCAGCACCTCTCCTGCTCGGTCCTGAAGCCATTGTATGCATCCTCTCTCCAGCCGAAGAGAGCCACCTTAACTTCTTATAACCATGTATCACGACCCCTATTAAGTCTTCGCCTCGCAAATCGACCCCATGAATTTTAGATTGACCAATTTCCTCCGTCGAACCACCAAGGAGAACTCTGCAATCGGCGGTTCTTGATTCCGAAAAGGCCGAGACCAAGAACATGACCGTAAAGATCAAGCCAAATGGTCTCATTTTTTTTGGTGTGGTTGTTCGGTTCTTGGGGTTTAGGGTTTAAGGCAATGAATGTGTTTTGGTGATTGATAGAAAAGGAGTAACAAAGGAGGAAGTAAAGCTTTATATACAAGTGTCAAAAGATTCAAAGGTAGATGGAAAAGGATGGAGAGGAAGGAAGATAGGAGTTTTCATTAGAAATAAAGTAATACGAAAAAAATTAAAAAAATTGTTAGGGAATATAATATGGAATAAGGTGTAGAATTAGACCCTCGATATAAGGGGATGGTGCAGGCGAATTAGTAAAAAAGGACGGTCTCTAGCTTCCTTGGAAATGGACCTTTAGAAAAGTGTTAATTGTTTTTTTGACCAGCTAAATTTTAGTATTATTTTATATATAATATATAGGTTAATAGCTTTAAATCTAAAAGTATTATAGAATATATATTTGAATTTATTTTTGTATTTTTCTGCTTAAGATATGAATATGAAATTAAGGCATGCCGAATATTAAGTTATGGGATTTGTAGCGAAAAACAACATTTTGGGATTATTTTTTTTTTGTTTTGGCATCATTTTCGGAATTTTTTATTGCTTAAGATACACAAGATTCCAATGAATCAATCTTCCAAATGACAATTCAAGTTGTGGTTGGTAATTTAAAAATCCCGACTTTTTGTCAGTGGAGTTAGGCAAGACTATATCAATATTTTCGGTAACATGGTTTCATGATCTAAAACATTTATACCGACAAGGAGGTTAGTAATCACCACGTAAACTTTTAATAGCCAAATGAGTATAAAAGTGAACCAAATGAAAGTACTAGACTACAACTATTTGATCTCATATTTCTATCATTTAAATTTTTTTATATCAAACTAATTATTGCAGATAAGTTATGAGCGAAGGTTCTCTTATTAACTACAATGGCTTTTGTTGATTACTGAATTTAAACTCTACGGTCGTGGTTCGTGGATCATCGACTCGGATTAAACTTTAGAAATTGGAAGAGTACTGGTGAAGGTAGGGCACGAATGCGTAGTTGTGACGTAGGAGGAGGGAAGAGAAATAAAGTACGTATTTTATCTCACACTTTCACGAATAATTTGATCGGAATAAATTTGACCATACGAATCCTCGAGACTTGTTCTGCATAGAAGAACGTTTTCCTTGTATAGATCAAAATATGTTAGGTGAATTAAGAACTAATGCATGATTTTTAGTACTGTGCAAATAAATAAACAAGAAACACGAAGATCAAACCAAAATCATAAATCATAACTCAGCGATAATTATAAATGGGAAATCTAGAAATATAAAAAAAACGAACAAAACATAATTGTGATGGTGGCTCGTGGGCATGAGAAAAAGAAGGGAGATAACATAGACAGACAAATTCGGTGGTACAGACACAAAATACTTGTATGGACGGACGGACTCTAACTTTGCTTCATAGTTGTCATGACAACAATATTGGCATCTATCTTCTTCCTCTTTTTCATTTTTTTTTTAAACGTCACTTCCCCACATGTACCCTCAATTTTATTTCATTATCAATCTTGCATCTTCGAATCTGTGTTTATATAATCGAGTTCAAAGAACTAAAGTCCATATTTATTTTTAACTTCAAAATGTGTAGTCATTATGTGAATATTTAGTGCTTTACTTTAACAAAAAAATAAAAAATAATAATATAGTGTGCATGGACGAAAATTGTATTACTGTTATGATCGATATCCCAATATTTTTTCATAAACTGTATTAATTTAAAATCATCTTCTTAGCATGGATGTATGCTTTAACAAAAAAGAAAATGCATGTATGCTTTAACAAAAAAGAAAATACATATGTATTTTAGATATATATGCATAGTGTTTATAGAGACTTATTATTATTAGATCTGCTATTTGAATGGATTGAAGATTAACGATTTGCTTTTGTATGGATTTGATCAGTAAATCACGATGCTACTTGAAATTCTTTTGTCAAAGATATTATTTCAAGAATTATATTAATTTCATGTAATTGGACGGAATATAAAAGACTGGAATCTAGATAATGAATTTATTAATGCAGAATTTGATTCCAATATTAATGGACTACCACGTCCGAGCTATACATAGTTAAACATTTTTTCTTCTTGTATGTATTATTCTGGCGTGGTCTTACGCCACTACTAAACTATATTATTTTGGCCAAACCAATATAAATTAAACATTGAACCGGGTTTTAAGTAATTTGTTTGTAAGTTTCTTTTAATAATTGGTTATCAAAAATAACGTATTTAATAATTTGAAAGATAGTGATTTCACCTTATATTAATATGGGAAAGAGTTTCCTGATGCTCTGCAATTTGGTTTCTTTGTCTTACTCTAACTGCGGATAAAAAGGAGCGATTTTGCTATAAAAAGGAACAGTTTGAGATGATATTACACTTTATTCCTGTAAATTATTTGGCTACCATCAATAATATATTCTTTAAAACTATCAATCACAACTCTGTTTCAAAAATCATATATGAACTTGAGACGGAAAAATGATCATAATTCAACATCATATAGCAGCAAGAGTTGAAATAAAGATCAAAGGTTTTGAAATTTCATAGGATAGATTTCTTATTTCTACCTAACAAAAATTAAAATTTGGATGTTGAATTTTGAGTAGTAAAGTTTGGTTGTTCAATGTTCTTGCAAGAAAAATCACGTGCGAAGGAACTATTTTTGGTCGTGCAAGAAAAATAACAGCAAAGTGTTTGAACTTTTGAAGCATTGATGATTAGGTTTGGTGTATCTAACAATATTATAAAACAAATACATGAGATCCGATTTATAGTCAATTAGCTCATGTCACTCCTTATATCAGCTGGTAGGATGACTTTATTAGCTTTGCTAGTCTGAAATTCAACACTTTTTTTTGGTCTACAACTACAAATCTACCTTAAATTTTAGCTGCCGTCTGCTACAAACAATGAAACTTTATTTTTGGTCTACAATATTATTCTTTTATTTCTAATATTCAATTTCTTATCCTTTCCTCGTTGATGGCTTTCACTAATTTTTGTTCAATAAATACACACAAAATTGAATGCTCAAGAAACAAGTTGGTATCTTCCCAGAAAGCAGCATAACTAATTTCAATGATCACATTCTTTTCAATTCAAACTTAGTCAAGAACTAAAATTCAAACTTTGCATCTACTTGAACACTACTATATAGTCACATACTAAACTCACAAACACTCACAACAAAATTCGTTATCTGCTATAAAGAGAAAGAAAAACATTTTTGTTTTATAAACAGAGAGTTAAAGTGTTCTTAAACATGATGATGATCAACAAAGCCGTTCTTGGTTCGATCCTGGTCTTCATGTTGATCGGTTCAGTTCTTGTTGAGAGTCGTCCGCTTGGTCTAACAAAGACCGAGGAGAAGCTCATGGCTGGTTTCTTCGATGGCTTGTCACTTGGTTCGATGAAAGACTCAGGTCCGAGTCCAGGCGAGGGTCACAAGGTCGTGGAACGGAGGGATACGTTTCGATTTGATAAGCACTCCGGTCCAAGCCCAAGCGGACCGGGGCACTGATGTTTCAATCTTTGGTTCAAACTGGGCCGGTTAAAGTGCCCATACCCGTTTAGGTCGAACAAATTTTTTATTTTATTTTTTTTGTTTCAGTTTCAATAGTCAGAAAATATTAGTATATACACTGATACGTATAGCAAAAACATTAATTGATGTCTCATGTTTTTTCTATTCTCAGGATTATTGTTTTGTTAGTTAAATAAAGTTATTTGAAAGTATACAAATTCTCAAAGTAATAATAATCCAAGTTATTTTATTGTTTGAATGTAATTAAAAAAACATCAATGTACAAAGTGTTGTTATATGATTACATTCCAATACTCAAAATTCTAGTAGTCAAAGAACGAGTCCAACTGCTCAACCACCAATAAAGCATAAATTAAAAAGGACATTGCTTTCTAAATGGGCGACGATCCTATTAAAGACATTTAATCGAACTATTGTGAAAGTTAAGGGACTCAATTGAAAACGTATTAAATTACAACAATAGCCTTTACATTATTGAAATTAGAACATTAGGCTTTAACCTCGTGGATTTGGCAGTTTGATTATCTAGACGGTTAAAGGGTGCCTTGTGATGTGAAGATCTTTGCCTCTCGCTCACAATGGGAAGCTCGTCGAAGGAAGAGACGGCGAGTGATGGAGATACGGCGAGCGGTGGCGCCTCACCGTCCAACGACGGCAGACTCTTCTCGGAAGGCGAACGTGTTCTCGCCTACCATGGTCCTCGCGTCTACGGAGCCAAGGCAAATAAAAAACTCTCACTATATTTCTCTGTGCTTCGTCGGATGTTTGCATAATTTGAATTCTGTTGATTATTATGGTGTGATTTAGCAATTCGTGGTATTGGTTGTATGCGACTACGGAATTAACTGGTTTCGTTTATCGGGATCTCTCTGTTAGATTTGGCTTATAGATTTCTTAGTAGATTTCGTTTTTAAGTTACGAAGATCCGAAACTTGAGGCAATTGAGTTTCAATTTGAATGTTTCGTCTGTGTTTGGCGTAATGGATTTATGGAAGGTGATTTATGTAGCATTAACGATTTGAGATTGGAATTATCTGAAATGCTTAGTCGCAATTGATGCATAAGGACAATTTACTTTCGTTGAAGCAAGATTCAAAAAATTACCCGGAAATAGGGCAAGCTAAATCTACTTGCATGATTAATTTTTCAATCATATATCTCCTCTAGCAATACGCCACTGGATTAAAAAATTATCTGTTATTGCATAGTGTTTCAGTGTGGTCAGACCTGATAGATTATTGACACTTCTATTACAGGTTCAAAAGGTCGAGCTTCGGAAAAAGGAGTGGAAATACTTTGTTCACTATCTTGTGAGGCCTCCTCCTTCTGAGCTATTATAGTTTCATTATCCTGTTTGATGTACTGCATGTTTCAAAAATCTAGCTATTTGCATTTTGCTCAGAGCTTTTGGTTTGCAGTAATAAGTGATACAGCGATCTGTGTCTGCAGGGTTGGAACAAAAAGTGAGTATCTCTATGCTCTCATGTCTATTCTGGTTTATGTAGCAAAATCAGTAGATTGGGACCCATGACATGAATGTCTTGCCAACAGTTGGGATGAATGGGTTAGCGCGGATAGGTTGTTGAAACATACTGAGGAGAACCTTGTGAAACAGAAAGCTCTAGACAAGAAGCAAGGAGTAGAAAAAGGTACCAAGTCTGGGCGTTCGGCTCAGACAAAAACTAGAAGCTCTGCAGGTGAGTTTATGCTGTTTACTATCTAATACGGTATTAAATGCTTCTCGGTTGTGAAAATAGATCTATCATATCCCCATTTCTGTTGGCTTGAATTTCTTAATGCTTACAGAAGAGTCCTTATCCAGATGGCCTACTGATATAATAATTTTCTGGCTGCATGTACATAACTGATTTGATTTTTGCCCCTAGATTGACCCTGTTGAGAGTACATAATACATATTTGGTCATCCATGCTAAGGAACTAAATATCTTTTTCTGATCTTGCACTTGCAGACACAAAGGCTGATAAAGATGACACAAAGACCAATGGTAGGCAACATATTAATTTTCCCTCCCTTTTGTATTTCAGGGTTCTCCCAACAATTTCCAAGGATTTGATTTGATATCTATAAAATTTTGGGAAAAAGTTATATTAGATGCAACTTAAATTATTTGAGTTGGTGTATAGATGATTACGTTTTTTGTTGCAGCTGCAAAAGGGAAGAAACGAAAGCACGATTCAGGCAATGAGGTCAGGCTTGTAAAAACTCAGAGATCTCTAGATTTTGTGCTTCAGCTCTACATTGATAAGATTACCCAATGCTTGTGTATACCTGTTAGGTCTTTGTTAAGATTTTATTTTACAATGCATAAAATGGCTGATGTGTTGTTATGCATATATACACAAATACAAACAGGGTCAAGTTATTATACTCGTATACAAACAGGGTCAATTTTTCAGGTCTTCTAAAATCGATAAGGTTCCTATTGTATAATTTTGAAATCTATAGAAGGATAACGTATCGGCGGAGAAGCTAATGAAGATCCAAATTCCCGCAACACTTAAAAAGCAGCTCATTGACGACTGGGAGTATATTGCGCAGAAGGACAAGGTATCATCAATTTACTCTATTTTGTGCACATACGTTTGGCTCGATTAGAATTGTTACTGAATTGTTAAGATATAAGTGTGTATTTGTAGTCGAATGAATTATATTTACCAAAGTGAAGGGAAATTGATGTTTGGTACTCTGCCTTCAAATGACTATATAGGTTGTGAAACTTCCTCGTTCACCTAATGTCGATGAGATATTGGCCAAGTACCTCGAATTCAAAACCAAGAAGGATGGAATGTGAGTCCTTTACTTGAACACTAAGTTTGATATGTTTGAATATATTCCGAAATCCAATGAATCAAAATTGTTGTGTTTCTGTTTTTGTGCAGGATAACTGATTCGGTCGCTGAAATTTTGAAAGGCATAAGGAGTTATTTCGACAAGGCATTACCAGTGATGCTCTTATATAAGAAAGAGCGGCGACAATACCAAGAATCAATTGTGGATGATACTTCACCTTCAACTGTTTATGGCGCCGAGCATTTGCTCCGTCTCTTTGGTAAAATCTCAGTAAGTTCTTATTCAGACAGTAAAATTTGATGTTCCGAAATTTTATATTTGCCTTTTGTAAAAATCTGCAGTGAAGTTACCGGAGCTTCTTTCATATGTAAACATGGAAGAAGAAACATGGAGTCGCATGCAGCAAACATTATCAGACTTCCTCAAGTATCTATCTAATCTCTCTGTTTCACTACCATTTCGATCTCTGTTTCACTACCATTTCTCGGGTTTTACAGTTAAATTCACAATTTCTGCAAAAAAATATTTACAGGTTTATTCAGAAGAATCAGAACACTTTCTTGCTACCATCAGCATATGATTCTGATAAGGTTTCAGATGGTAAAGGCAAAGGAAAAGACGATTGACAGAGTGACAGCTCCAGGAAAAAAAATTGTTGTAATTTTAGAATTCCTTCATTTTTCTGATGAATTCATAATTGTAAGGTACATTTTCAGATATTTGTAGCTGAATATGAATATTTTTACAGGCCTTTTAAGTTAACGATTTGGTTCATGTAATTTTTTTCTTAAGTGTTCAATAAAAGATAGGGAATTCAGAACAATGGAACCTTGGTTTGGTAGAAGGCAACAAAAACTAAATGGAAAAAATAAAGTCTATGATGAGATGAGATTAATATATGTGGCTAATGTTATCGGAATAATTGGCTTTTTCCCTCAGTTATTCTTCTTTTTCACCAAGACGACTCTAATACGCAGAGTTCGTGAGATCAGAATCAATGGTGGCATGAAAAACGACGCTTGAGAGCTCAAATTCGTCGATTATGGAACCTGCAGCTCTTACTCGTTCTTCCTCTCTCACTAGATTCCCTTATCGTCGCGGTTTAGCTACTCTCCGACTCGCTCGAGTCAACTCGTTCTCAGTTCTTACACCTAAGACTCTTCTCCGTCGAAAACCTCTCCCTCTCTCTATCTCTTCCTCCCTTAGTCTTCCACCACGGTCGATTCGTATACGTGCTGTCGAAGACCACCATCACGATCATCATCATGATGACGAGCAAGATCATGACCACCACCATCATCATCATCATCACCATCAACACGGATGCTGTTCCGTGGAATTGAAAGCGGAGAGTAAGCCTCAGAAGGTGTTGTTCGGATTCGCTAAAACCATCGGATGGGTTCGATTGGCGAATTACCTCAGGGAGCATCTTCATCTTTGCTGCTCCGCCGCCGCAATGTTCCTCGCTGCCGCCGCGTGTCCTTACCTTGCTCCTAAACCTTACATTAAGTCTCTTCAGAACGCATTCATGATTGTTGGTTTCCCTCTTGTTGGAGTAAGGATTCTATAGCCTCTCAATACACTATTAAGCTCTTTTTTTAATTTAGCCAGAAGATTTAAGAAATTTAGTTCCATTGGTGTATGTGTTAGGTTTCAGCGTCTCTCGACGCACTTATGGATATAGCAGGAGGAAAAGTGAACATTCATGTATTGATGGCACTTGCGGCTTTTGCATCTGTGTTTATGGGCAATGCTTTGGAAGGAGGATTGCTTCTAGCTATGTTCAATCTTGCTCATATTGGTTAGAACTTGAGTCTATAAGGATCAGGGATATGTCATCGTTAATGTTTTTCCATGACGAGAGATGTTTAAGCCTTTGTCTTGTCATTTTTCTGCAGCCGAGGAGTTCTTCACTAGTCGGTCAATGGTGGATGTTAAAGAGTTAAAAGAGAGTAATCCGGATTCTGCACTGTTGATCGAAGTACTCAATGGCAATGTTCCAAATATTTCTGATTTGTCCTACAAAAGCGTTCCTGTGCACAGTGTAGAAGTTGGATCCTATATTTTGGTTGGAACTGGTGAGGTCTGTAAAACTTTTCTATTTGAAATTCTTAAATATGTGACCCTGTATGTCATTGCTTTAGTACTAGCGGTGTTACTATTGCAGCTGTTAAGTAATGGAATTTTTTTTTGTATTTCTTAGATTGTGCCTGTAGATTGCGAAGTCTACCAAGGTAGTGCTACAATAACGATTGAGCACTTGACTGGGGAAGTCAAGCCGTTGGAGGCAAAAGCTGGAGATAGAGTGCCTGGTGGTGCAAGAAATTTGGATGGCAGAATGATTGTGAAGGTATTTATAATCATATTCTCATTGCTTTGGCTTTTCTCTTATTTGGAATCCTCAAGCTTATCTTATTCCATGGAATTTCTATATCAGGCGACAAAGGCATGGAATGATTCGACGCTTAACAAGATTGTACAGCTGACCGAGGAAGCACATTCTAATAAACCCAAACTTCAGAGATGGCTGGATGAGTTTGGCGAGAATTACAGCAAGGTTGTGGTTGTTTTGTCACTTGCAATTGCCTTCCTAGGTCCATTTTTGTTCAAGTGGCCTTTTCTCAGCACCGCAGGTAAGATGTCATGAATCTTTGTTGATATGACAAACTATTCTTGTTATTTAATAAGATATATCCCCATTTGGACAATTGATAAGAGTGATCTTTGCCTTCTTTTCTTGGGATGGGAAATTGATTGGCTTATTTTCATTGCTTGTTAATGACACAGCATGCAGAGGATCTGTTTACAGAGCATTGGGACTTATGGTGGCCGCATCACCATGTGCTCTGGCCGTAGCTCCATTGGCTTATGCTACTGCTATTAGTTCCTGTGCAAGAAAGGTATTGTTCAAGTACTCTATGTGATCACTTTTGAGCATTAGTTTTATATGTTCTCTTGTAGCAAATTAAGCTTTATAAGCTAAAGAATCTTATGTACATCAAATGACAATGGTGAGGAATGAATAGTGCATATGCTACGACATCTTCTGATCTATGAAGACCACCAATTTCCTTAACTTCAACTAACTGTTTGATATCATTAGTATTTACTATTTAGTTCCTTTTGTCCAAATCCAGTTGAAAACATGGTTTATTTTGTTTTTCTTGCTATGTAAATGTAGTATCTTCACGTGTAAGTTTGTAAACCTCCCTTGTGTAACTTCTATAGGGAATATTGCTGAAAGGTGCACAGGTCCTAGATGCTCTCGCATCTTGCCATACTGTTGCTTTTGACAAAACCGGGACCTTAACAACCGGCGGCCTTACTTGCAAAGCAATTGAACCCATTTATGGGCACCAAGGAGGAAATAATTCAAGTGTAACAACTTGCTGTATTCCAAATTGTGAAAAAGAAGCTCTTGCTGTAGCGGCTGCCATGGAGAAGGGCACCACACATCCTATTGGAAGGTATTGCTTGTTTAGCATCAATTACTAGTATACAACTTAATTACCGCAAACTCTAAAACCATGCAAGCTTTTATCTATGTGCCTCCCATCACAAATTTTCAAGCGTAGGATGGATAGAAGTTAGAACTGGCACGTATCTATAACTCATGGGAAATAAGTTATCTTGTTGGATGGTACATTCATTTCAGGAGATATGTTGATGTAAAGAATTTTATTCATACATCTAGAAATTATTCTTATTTCTTGTCCATCATCACAAACGGATGAAAGGAAGGGGCATAAAGCAACTTTGAACGCTATGAAGCTCTCTATCTCTAATTTTTAGACTTGTTTATTCGTTTTAAATGATGCTTGGTCTGGTACGAGATTGAGATTGAATTGTACTATAGGTATTTTCTGCTGTTTCTGACACATTTGATCTTGCTGCAGAGCTGTTGTAGATCACAGTGTGGGTAAAGACCTTCCTTCTATTTTTGTTGAAAGCTTTGAATATTTTCCTGGTAGAGGCCTTACTGCTACTGTAAACGGTGCCAAGGTGCGACACAGTTATTTACTAGATTCTTATATATCCATTTATCTACTAGTTTTTATAGTGTGTAGCTGTGTGTACATCTCTGGCTTTCATTCTCAAAATATATGAGGTTGTCTCTCACTGCATTTTTTGGCTTTGTAATAGTCGGTAGCTGAAGAGAGTAGATTACGAAAAGCATCACTTGGTTCGATAGAGTTCATTACCTCGCTTTTCAAATCTGAAGATGAGTCTAAACAGATCAAGGATGCTGTAAACGCCTCTTTGTACGGGAATGACTTTGTTCATGCTGCTCTTTCTGTTGATCAAAAGGTATACTACAACTAATTCTTTAGCTGGTCCAAAAAACATCTTTCCTACTTCACAGTCCGTAATTTAAAAAATTTAATATCTCATCTGACCATTTATTAGTCCATAAAAACCTCTGTATCACTGAAATTTATGAGCCTTGCAACTAACTTTTTCCAGGTAACATTGATTCACCTCGAAGATCAGCCTCGTCCAGGGGTGTCAGGAGTTATAGCAGAACTTAAAAGCTGGGCCAGACTCCGAGTAATGATGTTAACTGGGGACCATGATTCAAGTGCTTGGAGAGTTGCAAACGCAGTGGGTATTACTGAAGTCTACTGCAACCTAAAGCCAGAGGATAAGTTAAATCATGTAAAGAACATCGCTCGGGAAGCAGGTGATCGTTACTTTCGCCATAGTTCCCAATCAGAAACATCTATCAAGAGGCTCAGAATTTAGAGTTTTGTATTTTTGGCAGGTGGTGGTTTAATTATGGTAGGAGAAGGGATTAATGATGCTCCAGCTCTAGCAGCTGCAACAGTTGGGATTGTTCTTGCTCAACGAGCGAGTGCCACTGCGATTGCTGTTGCTGACATCTTACTGCTTCGAGACAACATCACTGGTGTTCCGTTCTGTGTCGCTAAATCCCGCCAGACAACATCATTGGTAGATAAAAGAAAAAAAAAAGTATTTGTTTTTAACCAATTTCAGATGTAAGATTGTCTGAGAAAGTATTTATCACGTTGTAGGTCAAGCAAAACATTGCTCTTGCGTTAACATCGATATTCTTGGCCGCTCTTCCCTCAGTTTTAGGGTTCGTTCCATTGTGGTTGACGGTACGTAAGCTAATACCCTCTACAAACTTTTCCATCATTTACCTGAACGAGAGACTAAACAGCTAACCGGCATTTATGTGGGATTGTGATCATAGGTACTTCTACATGAAGGCGGGACTCTTCTCGTGTGTCTAAACTCAGTACGTGGTCTAAACGATCCATCATGGTCGTGGAAACAAGACATAGTTCATCTAATCAACAAGTTAAGCTCACAAGAACCCACCAGTATTAGCAGCAACAGTTTAAGCTCCGTAGAGCCTGCACATTAGGTAACTTTGTTGTTTTTTGTCTAATTATTCTGCAGAAGCAATAAACTGTATTGTATGATCGCTTATGTAACATCCAAATCGTATATATGTTTGGTTTCGTCAGGTGATGTGTATTAATTATATCACGTGCTTATATTTACTACTTGTGGTTTATGTTTGCTTCCTCCGTTCCTCGTAACAAACCCATAGAATAAAAACGTTTGAGAAGTGTTTTTGACTTTTCTCCTTCAGTTTTTCTGTAAAAATTGTTAATGATCTTGCTTTGCTTATAATTGAATCACGAAAGATCATATGGAAATACAAAACATTTTTGATTTCGCTTCCTCCTTTCGTCTCTACTACTGGCTCTATACATGAAAAGCCTGAAACTTTTATTTCCCTGAGAAACAGAGGGAAAACTTGTTCTTATCACTCTACTACTCCATCTTCCCAATTCCGATTTGGTTCACTACAAACTCTCTAAACCCGACACGACGGCTGTTTACACTTTGCGGCATACACGAACCACCACTTCCTCCACCTGAACCACCGACGTTTCCTCGCTGTAAATCCGCCATGTAACTCCTCACCTCAGTCCTAATCATCTCCTGAACCACCGTCATGAACTCACCACCGAATCCACCAGATATCCCTTTCCCTTCTTCTTCTTCTACTTCCACTTGCTCTTCCTTTCTAACCGGAAACAGCTCCGCCGTATAACCACCATCCATAACCGTATTCTGGTTTAGTTGTACCGGCTCGTTGACTCGAACCGTCTCCTCAGTCCAAGGGAGAGACAAGCTAAGATAAGTTGGAGGATCTTCACCAGACGATGACGCATTAACCTCAGATCTAACCGTCGGTTTAAACACGTGTGCACCACCACTAGATTGCTCGCTGACGTCAGATCCCGATGGACTTCCGGGACTCATATACAACCCAGTCGACACACCACCACCACCACCACTCGCCGTACGTTTCAACGGTTGCTCTTCTCCTAAATTACCATCATACCCTCCATTCCCACCAAAATCACAACTTTGCCCTTCGACGCTGCATTTTCGCTTGAGCGTCGAGTTCCAATGATTCTTGATAGCGTTATCGGTTCGTCCATTGAGAAGACGAGAGATCGTAGCCCACTTGTTACCAAACCGAGCATGAGCTCGAATAATCGTCTCGTCTTCTTCCTGAGAAAAAGCACGGTGCTCAACCTCCGGAGATAGCTGGTTACACCACCGGAGCCGGCAAGATTTGCCGGAACGTCCAGGGATAGATTTGCTTATCAAAGACCAGTTTCTCGGACCGTGTTTCTGAACAAGCCTCTGCAACAGATCGTCTTCTTCTGGACTCCATGGACCTTTAATCCTCTCCATATTCTTTCGGGTCGGGTTTGACATCGCCGGATCTTTATATCGGGCTGTTCTGTTTTTTCTTTCTAACGCGTCCTCTGTTTTTTTTTCTTTGGTCGTTACAGTTTTTTTTTTTTCTCGTGTCGGGAAGAAAAATGCTTTTTTGTTTAAGAGGATAAGAGCAAGAAGAGAGAGTATTTATACGAGAAAGGAGTGGGCAAAAAGGGTCACCGGTTCAACCGGTAATCTTTTCTTATCGATTTAACAGAAACGATATTAAACTAGTAAAACTTTGCAGTGTAATATTATCCTTGACTGCATAAAAATATCTAACGTCTTATTAAAACAAATTTTATAAAAGGAAACAAATAAAACCGTTTTCTCTATTAATAAATAGATTTTCTCAGTGTTAAACGGATAACTATGGTAGTTCAAACAAATTGAAAAAAAAAACGGAAAATTATGGTTGTTACTCGTTAAATAATTTTGACTAATTCAGTCAAAAATATTTGACGGATTAATTAATCCCTTAATTTAAACGTATGATTAACTAATTGTTTACATGTTCATAAGTATGTGTCCGTACAAACCTCGTTAACGTTTGGCTACAAAAATTGACAACATTTACGTGTTTATGATTGGAACAGATTTAAAGAAAACACGTTGGCGATTGAAAATTGCGTTTAGGGCGGTAAGCGTTTGTGTGAGGTTAACATCGAGCGTGGAGAGCAGAGAATCTTCCAGGAAAAACGGTTGGGGACTTGGGATACAGCTGTATATTAACACGTGTCAAGTAAGTATATGTACTTTGAGTTTGAGATTTGTTTCTTTTTTTTTTCAAGAATAATAGTAATATTATTATTGTTTTCTTTTTATTTTTCAGAGATTTGTTTTCTTTTGTAGAGAGAGTACGCTCGTACACAGGAGCGTTTCTTCCACTCTCTTTTTTACAGGTGGAGCGTTTTTGCCCAATCATTTCGTTTTCCATCTAAAAGCAAATCAATGACATTCACAAAAATATCGTTAACTTCTACGTTTTTTTTTTTCTATTAATAACCTTTTTTAAATCATTCTCTTTTTGAATATTTGTTAACTTTTTAGTATTTAAATTTATTTTGTAAAAATTTGAAACAATTTTAGAAGAAAATGAATTCAAAAATGGCATTGTATTTTAAATGATGAATTTTTTAGTATGTATATTAAATTTGGTAAAAAGCTTATAAAAATTAAGAACATGCTGGAAATATACATATTGTTTTAAAACTAGTAAGTGCAACAAAAAGACTACATAGAAGTCAATAGAAAATAGCCGAAAGTTTTTGTGTTATGAACTAAAGTCTTTTGATCTTTGACAAAAAAAAAAAAAAGAACTAAAGTCTTTTGATATGTTATTTTCAATATTTTGACACTGTTTGTTACATGTCACTGTCTCTTGTGTTTTGATTGATATGTGTGGTTTATTATATAAACGAACGATGGTCCAATATACAAATTTTGCTTAAGATGTAAATTGTGTCGGTGAAAATAATGAAGACATTGTAGTCGTTGACAGCAAGTTCTAGGCTTCTAGCTACTACATGTAACAAGTGAATGTAATAGTTTTTTTAACTATTGAAACAAATACAAACTTAGAAAAGATATCATTAGATTAAATATGAACGTTGCAAGTAATCAGTATTTGATAAGTTATAAATTGTTTTTTTTTTTTATAAGTTATAAATTGTCTTATAGAAGAACAAGTAAATGGAATATACTAGTTTTGTTGTCATGGTGAATTACTAAACCGGTACAACTTAGTTAACCAGAAATCCAAGGGTAAAAGCGCGTGTGGGATGATATTATTATACACAGAGAAGCAACCTCTTCAGGATGTGTAACTTGTATTTTTTCTTTTTTTTACACAAAGTAATTGGCAGAAAGAAAGAACCAAACCTAACAAACTGAAATACAGCAAATCTCTAGATATTCATAAATATCTAAACCAAGCCCACTTCATGCAACTTCACATATCTAATTTGCATATACACATGAGATTGATATAGTAGTAGTATCAATCTTGTGGAGGTAAACAATAATTGAAGTATATGGTAAAAGAATGTGTGATATAATTAAAAATGAATAATAAAAGAGAGCCCAAAAAAGAAAGAAAAACAATAGTAGGAGATAAGGATGAAGTTAACGGTTAGGTATGAGGTTTTGGTTCGATTCGGTGACTTTTTGACTGAGGAAGCCAGCCTGTATGCCATTATTAGTATTGTTATTTTATTTATTATTGTTATTTGAAAATAGTTATCATTATTATTATTATTTTTTGGATATTTTGCCGATCTCAAAATAAAGAATAAAAAAGGAGAAAAAGCAAAAAAAAAGAAAAAGATAGGCCAAAAAGAGACAGTTGCTTACGTGGCGAAAAACGACAAGGATAGATCGGAAGGCTGATCGTTACCACTTTAATTTTCTGATATTTAAATAATTAAAAATTTAAAAAACAAAAACAGGCTGTAAATCTCTGCCTCCCTTTAACGGCCACTCTCCCACCTGCCGGTCACCCACCCACCCTTTTTTATTTTTATTTTATATACTTCATAATTTACCATTCTTTTAAAACTTGTGTTTGGAAATTAAAAATACTTTGGTTCATTAAGTTAGTCAAGAAATTTAGAATTTCTAGTACTTGTAAAAACACGAATTTGACATTATTTTAGTTTTTATAAACTGTGGTATGATGAGGAAATACAGATGACAATAAAAATTGTTGAACGCAACTTTTACAAAGTAAACGTGTAGAGTTATACTAAGTAATTGATGGCAAAAAAAAAAAAAATTATACTTCTTCTGTTCTTTTATAAATGGTGTTTTAAGTTTTTAATTTTGTTTTTAAATAGATAATGTTTTCAATTCTCAATACAAAATTAATTACTTTTTTATTAGTTTTATCGATTTATATTCTGTAGATTATTTTTATTAATTAATTAGATAAAAAATGATGTTAAAAGTTTAGAAATAGACCAAAGTTAAATGATTTCTTAATTTATGTGTATTTTTCTAAAACTTTTTTTATAAAAAAACGGAGAGAGTACTAAATAATTATGTTTTTTCTTAGGAAAATTAAATAGAACAATAATACTATATCTTACTCGTATCCTCAAAATATGAAAGAAAAGAAAAAACTTAATGTAGGAGGGTCGTGTTGAGTTGAATAAATCGAAGTCAACTATGTATGCTTTTAAGTGAGCGAAGAATTGTATTGGAATAATTTATTAAATGCATAGTCATTATTTTTTTCTTCTATAAATGGATTATGTAACCAACCAACGGTTCAGAAGTCATTTTTAACGATAAATTTATTTATTTTTATGTTATAGTCAATTTGAAATGCATTCAAACCATATATTAACCACCAGAAAAGGGGATTTTCATACCGTACTATCGGGACCGTGAATTTTTATACCTCGACATTTTTGTAGTGTATTTTCCAATCCAAACTGAAATAAATTTTGAATTTCATACATGTATTTGATAAATCGTGCAAAAAACGGAGTCAATCTAACGGGTGTTAGTCAACTCCGTTACGATGCTGAGTCATCGTACACGTGTACGCTGACGTGTATCCCATACGATAATTGTTCTCAAAAGTTTAATTTTTTTGCAAAATCGGGGATTCGAACATGTGTCCCTTGGCCCAACATCGAGCACCTTTACGAATTCATCCCACAACTCTAATCGAACATTGCCCAATCATTTTAAGTTATAAACCTTAATAGTTGTGTGTTTGGCTCTCTGCGAATCCCGGATCGCCGGTAAATTCTGTTATCGGCGTCGTCGTTTTCGTCAC